GCAGACTAACACTTATAAAGATGAAACGTGTATGTGGACGCCAGCCCGTCATTATGCGTCCATTTGCCTACTTGGTGCAAGTAATTTAGATTAGAACGCAGTTATTTGATGCTGCGGAGAAACCGGTCTGACGAAGTGACGTGTCCGTGGAAATGCACAACAGTTTTCAACAAACACGACGAGTAAATGACAGAAGTAGGGACCCTGGGCATGTTTGCTTGTTTGTGGGACGCAGTTACCTTGACCTTCCGCCATTTAAAGTTACACTCCCTATAAAACTGAACTCGACAACTTTACAACGGTAAGTGAAATTTGAGGTTCTTCTGAGGTAACTCTTAAAGATTACTACCCTTTATGATTATTTCAACCTTACACCCTCCGCTTCATCCCCTCTTACTCTCTACTCTATATTGGGCCTGCCACTGCTTATTTTTTCACCCTGCCCTTGAAAAAGTAAAAGTAAAAAAAAAGTAAAGCTATCCTTTTGCCAGGCCGTGAAGGACCATAGGGTTATGAGACTTTGCAGGTCCCACATTATCTAGACAATCGGCTCAAAGATGGCGGTAATGTTGTCAGCCTTACGCTCCGGCCGAGCTTTACTCCCCAGGAAAATTATTTATTTAACTCCTGGTACTCATTTCTGTTAGAGGCTGAGTGAACCCCAGGGCCATAGTACGGCTGGAAGGATTAGGTCAATTTAAAAAAAAATCCAATGACCTCATCGGGACTTGAACGCGCGACCTTCCGGCTTGTAGCATAGCCCCTCAACCAACTGCCCTACCGCGTGCCTCACCCTTGAAAAAGTCCTTATAAACTGCGCGGGTGGTCAAGCACACGGTTCTACGTAGAAATAAATTCTCGTGAATTATGAGATCATTCTCGTGGCCTGCGTAATGAAAGCTTTGCACTTTTAGCAGCTCATGAAAACTTCATACTTAAGGATGTTGACATTTATACCTCAAATAGAGAGGTCGAAAATTAAACAAGTTATAACTAACGGGAGCCGGGACAGCTCAGTCGGTATAACGACTGGCTACGGGTTGAACCACTGAGGGGTCGGAGTTCGAGTCCCAGCAGGGTCAAGAATGTTCTCTTCTCCAAGTCGTCCAGACCGGCTCTGAGGTCCACCAAACCTCCTATTCAATGGGTACAGGGCATTCTTTCCCCCGGGGTAAAGCGGCCGGGGAGTGAAGCTGACTACTCATCTCCAACTAGTGCCGACGTCAAGAAAATGTGGACCTATATATCTACTTCCCATACACCTTAATGGAGTAGTGTGTGATTAATTAAGCACAGGGATAAATTTACCTTTTATAAGTAACTAACTCCATGGAGCCCTTCCTGAGAAGCCGCCAGTTGTTCAGTACTCAAGAACTTCCCAACATTCTATGGAACCCGAAGGTTCATTACCGTGATAACAAGAGCCCTCCACTGGTCCCTATCCTGAGTTAGATCAATCCAATCAATATCATCCCATCCTGTTTCTCTAAGATCAATTGTAATATAATACATCCCCCTACGTCTTGGCCTTCATAGTGGTCTCTTTACTTCTACCTTCCCACCACTATCCTATATGCGTTCCTCTTCTCCCCCATTCGTGCTACATGCCCTGCCCACCTCATCTTCCTTGACTTGATCATTCTAATTATACTTGGAGAGGAGTACAAGTTATGAAGCTCCTCATTATGCAGTTTTCTCCAACCGCCTGTCACTTCATCTCTCTTCGGTCCAAATATTATCCTCAACACCCTGTTCTCACATTAGTCTATGTTCCTACCTTAATGCCAGAGACCAAGTTTCACACCCATACAGAACCACAGGTAAATTATAATTTTGTATTTCTGTTTTCAGCATCCTGTTGCACATCTTTAATTAAACGTCTATGCATCACAGTCCGTCAATATTGCAACAATTATTAAAATATTCACCACTTAACACTTAACACAATATGTTTCGGCCATAGACGGCCATCTTCAGGTGTTTCAATGCGTCCAAACTGCTACACTGCTTTGATGCGTGCTAAAATCGTGCGTTGCTGTCCACTTAAAATAACATAAATAATTACTTAAAGTCCATTAAATTCTTTTCTATTAAAATCTCACGAGGTGGAATAGGATTTTACGAAAGATTTTAATTGAAACAATTTTAATGGATTGTAAGTAATTATTTCTGTTATTTTAAGTGGACACCAACGCAAGATTTTAGCGCGCATCAAAGCAGTGTAGCAGTTTGGACTCATTGAAACTCCTGAAGATGGCCATCTATGGCCGAAACATATTGTGTTAAGTGTTATATGGTGAATATTTTAATAATTGTTTCATTATCGACGGACTGTGATACATAGACGTTTAATTACATTTTTGTATATTCTAATTTTTATGTTTTTGGACATCAGACGAGAAGACAAAAGGTTCTGGTCAAGATAGTAACAAGCATTACCCGAGTTCAGTATCCTCTTAATTTCCTCCTGAATCAGGTTTCGATATGTTATCGTCGTTCCCAAATATCTGAACTGTGCCACATTTTCAAAACATCTGTTTCTTATCTTTATGTCATGATTTTGCCCTGCATTTTGGTGACGTGACAGCAACATATACTTAGTCTTCTCTGTGTTTACTTCTAGACCAGCGTTTCTCAACCTGTGATCCGCGGACCACCTGTGATTCGCGATGATGGAACAGGTGGTCCGCAAGCAGACTTAAATTAAATTAAAAATTATCCAAACAAAAGAAATTAAAATTAAATAAGCAAGTAAGAATTTTTGAAATAAAATGGATACTGAAAAAGACAAAGCTTTCTAAATTTCATGAACATTTGAATGACCAGACAAGAATCCGGTATTTCCAGAGTATGAGGGAGAGACTGCGTTGTCACTAACTTCAGAGGAGGGACCGCGCCGATAATTGGTGGCTGCAGAAAGACGGATAATAAAGGAGGGGTGCAGTGAACAACAATAAGGTTGCTCCCGCTTTCCCTTGCTGTTTTGTTAGATTTGAAGTAAACATGTGTCATCCACATTTCAACAAACTGGTTGTCGTAAAGTTTTCTCCTTCAACTAACGCTCAGTATATCTGTGTAAGTGCTAAGTGACAGTTGGACAAAGTGTGTAGTGAGTTAACTCCTGTTTTTATATATTTTTCGGAAACATTTTTAATAATGGAAAAGTGGCTTAGAACAGGGACTCTGAAAAGAAAAGCAAACGAAACAGGTGATGCTAACCCTAATTGTGGGTCACGTGTTGTAACGGCGAGTAGATGTGATAATATTAAAAGCAGTTGAAAGAAAAAATTCAGTAGGAAATATGACAGTTCATATTTGGAATTCGGGTTTGCTTGGCGTGGTGATGAACGTGCTTTGTCATATGAAGTGTTGCCGAACGAGTGCATGAAGCCTGCGAACTCCGACATTTAGAAACTAAATATTGTGATGCGAAAAATAAGCCAATTGAATTTCTTCAGCAACGCTTAGGGACATTAAACCATGGGCAAAATATAGTTTCGGTCATGGGTTCGATTAATAGCAAGGCACTAGAAGCATCCTACCTCTTAAGTTTGCATAGCCAAAACGGGGAAACCTCTTTCTATCGGGGAAAATTTACTTCTTCCAGCTGCAACAGATGTGGTACAAACTAAGTTTGGCAACAAGTTACTAAAAGATGTTGAATTGATTCCTCTTTCAAATGACACTGTCGGTCGCAGAATTAATGATATGGAAGAAGACTTAGAATCTCAGTTAATCGGCAGAGTTAAGAAGAGCCCTTATTAAGTGATACAAATAGACGAGACTACTGATGTTGCAAATGATGCGCAGTTGCGCAGTAAATATGCTACGCAAGATATGCGCTTGATAACAACATTCATGACGATATTCTGTTTTGTAGAACTTTGTCAACCCGAACAACTGGAGAAGAAATATTTCACACTCTCGATAATTATATGAGACAAAGGGATCCAGTGGTAGAAATGTGTGGGCTTCTGTTCGGATGGAGCTTGCGCCCTTACAGGCAGGCATAGTGGGGTTGTTTCTGGGAAAATGTGTGGGCTTCTGTTCGGTTGGAGCTCGCGCCCTTACAAGCAGGCATAGTGGGGCTGTTTCTGGGAAAATGTGTGGGCTTCTGTTCGGTTGGAGCTCGCGCCCTTACAAGCAGGCATAGTGGGGCTGTTTCTGGGAAAATGTGTGGGCTTCTGTTCGGTTGGAGCTCGCGCCCTTACAAGCAGGCATAGTGGGGCTGTTTCTGGGAAAATGTGTGGGCTTCTGTTCGGTTGGAGCTCGCGCCCTTACAAGCAGGCATAGTGGGGCTGTTTCTGGGAAAATGTGTGGGCTTCTGTTCGGTTGGAGCTCGCGCCCTTACAAGCAGGCATAGTGGGGCTGTTTCTGGGAAAATGTGTGGGCTTCTGTTCGGTTGGAGCTCGCGCCCTTACAAGCAGGCATAGTGGGGCTGTTTCTGGGAAAATGTGTGGGCTTCTGTTCGGTTGGAGCTCGCGCCCTTACAAGCAGGCATAGTGGGGCTGTTTCTGGGAAAATGTGTGGGCTTCTGTTCGGATGGAGCTCGCGCCCTTACAGGCAGGCATAGTGGGGCTGCTTCTACACGTAAGGTTACTTCAATTCATTCATTGGAGGAACTCCTACAAAGTTAATAATTTTGTATAAAACACAAATCAGATTTAACCAGAACAGGGTTACTAAACGGACAAGACAGGCACGCCTTTGGCTCCAGAGACCTGAGACACTCTTAAATCATTCGTAATATTCTAGAATATATTGATCAAATTTCTGCAGATCAATTTCTCAGGCACGATCTATGGAGACCTGATTACAGCATTCAGTTTGCAGTACTGCACGGCAGAACTTTAGTCTTTATATCAACTAGACAGACAGACAGGGCATCGTGAACAGGTACTCGAGGACTGGAGATTTATAACCTTGGTGGTTTCAAAGTCTTGTATGAGAAAGTCCCTTCTGTTTGTGTGACGATATGGAGTCTATATAAGAGGCGCAAGGCTTCCAGAAGCCACAAGGCACAGGACTTTCAACCTATCAACAGCAACAATGATGAAGACAGCCATCATTCTAGCCTTGCTGCAGATCGCCATGGCAGCCAACCTACGTGAGTTATTCTTCATTCTGAAATTAAATTCGATCCATTATGGAATCACAGTGTTGCTTTAGGTCGGGTGGTCAGTCGCCTGTTTCCGGTACAGGTTCGATCCTAGGTCAGGCTATGTGGGATTTGTGGTAGACAAAGTGGCATGGGTGGAATTTCTACGGCAGAGACAGGAAGTTTCTCATTTCCACAGCGTTTAGACCGGCTCTTAAGGTTAAACCAGTCTCCAGTCCAAGGAGTACTGGGGTCTCTTTCCCCGGCGATAAAGCCAACCTTCATTTAGTGCAGAGGCTAAGAATGGTGGAGCTATACCTCACCTTCCCAATATGCTTTTATGACAGTGCTTAATTATACAGTATATCCCAGGAGGAGAGGTCAATATTCTGGGAAGTCACAGTGTCGGTCATTCTAAGCAAAAAACTGTATATAAACATTTGTCCTATTCCGAAAGGTTTCCGAGATAGAGCTATTTCACTGTAGAGGTAACGTTAAATTGTCCCTGTGTTTAGCTAATTAAGTACTACGCCATGAAGGCGTATGGGGAAGTGGATATACAGACCCACATTTTCTTGACCTCGGCACTAGTTGTAGGTGAGTGGTCAGCTTCATGCCACGGCCGCTTTACCCCCGAGGAAAGAGCCCCCGGTGCCCATTGGATAGGAGGCTGGGTGGACCTCAGAGACGGTCTGGATGACGTGGAGAAAAAAAATTCTTGACCCTACTGGGACTCGAACTCCGACTCCTCGGTCGTCCAGCCCGTAGCCAGTTGCTATACCGACTGAGTTATTTCATAGTTCCAAAACTGTTGATAAGAAAAGATATTACGTACTGTTTCTAATACCGGTATTTATTGTTCACGTGACAAAGTTGGTGCAGTTTACCTAATATAATACATTTTCGAAAATTCCACCGTCAACATCAATGCACTTTGCAACTCGTGTGAGGACACGGCGTGCTGCTCGTCTGTACACTGTACAGTGTACTGTACAGTGAAATAGCTCTATCTCGGTGCAACTCGTGTGAGAACATGGCGTGCTGCTCGTTTGCACAGTGTACAGTGTACTGTACAGTGAAATAGCTCTATCTCGGAAACCGTTAGGAATAGGACATATGTACATATACACTTCTTTTNCTCGTGTGAGGACATGGCGTGCTGCTCGTCTGCACAGTGTAAAGTGAACTGTACAGGGAAATAGCTGTATCTCGGAAACCGTTCGGAATAGGACACTTGTACATGTACACTTCTTTCTCCTAGAATGGCCGTTACTATGACCTCCCAGAATACTGACCTTTCTTCCTGGAACATTCTGTATAATGAAGTTCAGATGTTAGGTACGATTTTTATTCATAAAAGAGGAGACGCTACGATATGACAACGAGAATGTGCTAATTTAATTAAGTAGTTCAACATTTATTCAACTTGTGCATACCTTTATAGCCCGGAATACAAATACATTGATGCTACATGTGACCATGAGAACACAATGCACCGATATAGAATCTACACTCTCTGGTTGAAGGTTTTGCTAATTCTGTGGGTAGGCGGTTCTACCAACAATAGCCTCTCTGACATCATTCTAACGCAAACACATCACTTAACATCGCCCAACTTACAGTTGCTTCTTTATTTCCATACCAAGGCTCCACACAGCGTCGTGTTAACTCGTTATTACGTCGTTGTTCGTTCCAGAGTTTAAGAAAATATTCTAAACGGCGGGTTTAATATTGACGGAATCGGGCAGTCAACCAAAACTCGCTCGCTCTACCAGTGGCCACAATACCGACAGAGCGACCGCCACTTGTAGGCGAAGTTAGTGTCAACTTTAGCGGATAGAGGGTGTCGTGTGGTCAGCGCAACAGATCCCCTCGGCCGTTAATCTCGGTTTTCTAGACCGAGGCCGATATTTCCTTGAAATAGCTCCTCAGTTATCCTCACAAGGCTGAGTGAACTCCGTTGCAGACCCACTACATCTCAGACAATCTGGTAGCGCCGGGAATCGAACCCTTAACCTATGGATCTGTAGCCAGGAATTCTGACCACAGAGGCGAAATATGGGGTCGACTCAGCCTGTAACAGAAACGAGTACCAGGAATCTTGGGGGGGGGGGGGGTTAAAGGGGGCANGGGGGGTTAAAGGGCGGCAGGTGCGTAAAGTTAACAACCTCACAACGCTATGGGCCTCCACGGCCTGTTACAGGGATGGCTTGTATACAAACGGGACGAGGTTCTCACAGCGATGACTGAGAAAAATTGTATTTTCTATGACATCATATAAACAGGTTTACCGATGTTTCGGAGGAATGTATTGCCTCCAGCTTCTGGGTAGCAGATGAAGCTCAACATTTGTTTGCGACAAAGAGCTCTGCTGGAGACAGTAAATTACCTCGAAATGCTTCTAGGACATAATGCAGAATGGTTGTTGAAAGCCAACCGATATTTTAGAGGAATACAACGCCTCTATGTTCAGGGTTGAAAAATAAAGACAAGCAAGAAACCAGCATGAAACATTCAGAACGGTATTCTATCCGATAAGTTAGAACTCTTCATAAATACCGCTGTGAGAGCCTCAAGTCCTTTAGATGAAATACTGCTGGAATATGTCACATCTCAGAACATAGCCCTGACTGTTGTAAACACGATCTGACTGTTGTGTGCGCAGAACTCTTTCATTTCGCAGTACTATTTTCTCCCTTTACTACAATTACTTACAGTTTACGCTAACAAACTAGCAGCTGTCTTATCATGACACAAGAAACTTAATTCGCACAAACATGCAAAATATTACGTAACCTGCACTGAAGCTAACAATACAATATTCATCTTACAGTCAGACTTTCGCCACATTGCAGCCCAGGAGATGGTTCGGCTCAAGGACTATTTTTTGCTTTCTCACACGCGTAGTATAAGTTAGTATTGTGATCGTAACAAAGACTACACAGAGATTTTGATGGAATTACACGTTTTCGGTCCCCCCCCCCTCGAATAAGAAGAGGCGGGTTCCGAAATGCCATCTGCATGTATGTTTCTATGTACGTACGTGTACCTCGGTAGCTGAAAGGTTAGATGCGATTTATTCACTTCGGCTCGGAGAAACGCCACTTTCCTTACTGTTGCGTAGTCTTGTTTCCACTGTTGCGTAACTTGGCAACCGGCCGTTTATCAAGGGTCTGTCTTCGTGGTATCTCGTGCCACCTCCCGTTACCCAGCAACAGTTAGACATGTCACAATATCATCACGTGTAGGGGTGTGTTCCTGACTTGTAAGACGGGTTCTGTATTGGATGACTGGATTTATTGACATCTTGTATCCAGCAATGAGGAGTAGGGGCAATACAGCGATTAGCTCCATAAAGAGAAACCCTTCAAATGGTCATTAAAATAAAACAAATTCCCCCCAAAGGGGCTGTGGGGATTTCGATTGTATTTCTATAATTTACGTAATGGTTTTTAATTTTTACAGCCGACAAATTCAAGAGGTGTCGTGTAAAGGATCCAGAGGCAGACAGCTGTCTGAGAGTCGCCCTTCAGGATGCTTTGCAGAAAATTGGTAACACAGGTTGGTAAAACCGCAAGCTTACTTCATGGTTCTTATTTCTTTTCCAGTAACAATCTGTGGACGCCTAGACCCTAAAGAATGTATAATTTAATAACATGTGCATATCGTACTGTTTTAATTTTTTTTTTATTTAGTCACTCAACCTGGACAATAATATCAAATTGAAACATCCTCCAAGAAGTAGGTGTGGGTGAATTTAACAGGCTTGTTTAAGCAATGAGATGTTTCTATAACAATTAAGGTTGACACTGTATTTTTCAGGAATTCCTTCCCTAAATATGGGGCCGCTTGAGCCTTTGAACGTAAAAGAGATCAAGGTAGATCAAGGAGGCCATGGTCCAGTCACCGTAAGGCTGCAGTTCAACAATCTCAAGATTTACGGTATCCCTGAATCCAGCATTACAAGTTTCCAGTGAGTTCAGATGATGTCTACTTTATCTCCCAGTATGACTGTGTTTACAGTATTCTTGATGGTATGCCATAAGCAGACCGGTCACCGTAGCCGAGTGGTCTAAGACATGAACTGTCTTCGCTCGCTCGGAAGCCGAGATCGTGGGTTCGAATCCCACTCAGGGCATTGATGTTTAGTGTTTGTGTGTGTCTTTCTGTGATTGTGTACAGGTAGAGGCCTTGCGACGAGCTGATCACCCGCCCAAGGAGTCCTACCGAATGTCTGAGATCTAGTAAACCGAAGTGAAACGGAGGGTTTCATGGAGGTAGGCCAAGACCCAAATTGGGGCTGCAGAGCCAGATAAAAAAGGGTCATAAGCAGATAGTGATGTAGATTGTTGCATTAACATTAGAAATTAACTACGTATATTCGATTAAAAACATGATGAGTACCTGGGATCTCATTGATCACACGGGGACTTTTCTTCCGTAAGATTGCCTACCCTAGTTATGACGTAACCTCAAAGATGTTTTAACTCCATGGAGCTAAGCACTTCTTGAGTACACGCCAGTTGCGCAGTCACTCAAGATTTTCTCAAAATTTAATGGAATCCGCAGGTTCATTTCCGTAATATGGTCACGCCATAATAGGTTAGATTCTACGTATATAAGTTGTCATTATGCGGTTACAGTCAGATGTCTTGTAGCCTATCCTTAAATCTGTAAGAATGTTTCCATCTTACTTCTGGAAATCATTTTCCCGTAATAACAGGGAAACATTGCACAATGTCAGGACACTCTCCCGTCATTAGAAACGGCATTCAAACTTTACATATTCTTAAAACCTTGAATTACGTACCAGGAAGCTGAAGCAAAGTTAAATTCAGTGTATGAATTTAGGAAAGTAATCTAAAAAAGATAAAGTTACCCCTGTAACAGGTCGTCGGGGCCCATAGGGCTGTGAGATGTCGAGGCTGCCACATTTTCTACACAATCGGCTCATAGATGGCAGTGAGGCTGTCAGCTTTACTTTACCCCCAAGGAAGATTCCTGGTACAAATTTTTGTTAGAGGTTGGGTCGACCCCAGGGACATAGTGCGGCTGGAAGGATTAGGTAAACTGAAGAATCCAATGACCTTATCGGGAATCAAACATCAGGACCCCTTTCATATGCCCATGGGCATTAAGATTTCGACTTAAGAGCGGAGTAAAGTAGGACTCAGGAGAGGATGCTCATGTTCCGTACCTCATTTTCTTTCCGTTGGCTATAAAGAGACTGCATAGCATTAGACGACAGGTTAATGATGAACTGGAGAAGAGCTGGAAGGAAGAGGTAGAGATCTAACTGAGACACTATTCCTGTATTTACTTGGAAGGACTGAAGGAAACTATGAGAATTTTCAATCATTACAACCGGTGTCCTGGGCACGCGGTAGCGCAGTTGGGTGAGGCACTATGCTACAAGCCGGAAGGTCGCGGGTTCGATTCCCGATGGGGTCATTGGATATTTTTCAATTGACCTAATCCTTCCAGCCGCATTATGCCCCTGGGGTCGACTCAGCCTCTAACAGAAATGAGTACCAGGAATATTCTTGGGGGTAAAGGGCGGCCGGCGCGTTGGGCTGACCTCACCGCCATCTGTGAGCCGATTGTCTAGAAAATGTGGGAACCTCAAAATCTCACAACCTTGTGGGAATCCACGGCCTGTTACAGGGATAACTTTACTTTTTACTTACAACCGGTGACCCAAGCGAGATTCGAACAGACTACCATCCCATACTGTACTGAATTAAATTCCGTGTAGTGATTTCGTTAATGAAACTAAAAGAGACCCATAAGTCTCTCCTTTCTACGTTAGATGCAACTACTGCACGGTATAGGAAACTTCTTGAATAAGCTGATAGTGACTTGGTTGATGTAAATGTTCCTACCTTTAATGAAAAGGAACGTCCACTGTGCCCAGAAAGGCACACCACAGGATATCATCCCAGTATCTTCACAACATATTCCTGTAAGAAAAATTTTAGTATTATCCCACTGAACGTCGTGCTTGAGAAATTAGCATCCATGTGTTTTTCTGTTATTATTTTGGGATGTTCGGCTTCTTCAAGCCCTGGTCTGGAGACCAACACTCTTGGTTAAAATTCTATTGTCTATTCTCAGTCTCTGCAGTCAAATGTTTGTCTATATCTCAAATTAGCAACAACCGCTTCCCTCCACACCCCTTGAAACTCATCCCATCACTCAACATCGCTTATATTATAACCTATTGAAAATGTCGTTAAATAAGCCATAAAATTAATAAAAATATTTTATTGTTATCTACTGCCATGTCTTCCTACTGTTCCCTTCAGTTAATATTGTTCGGTTAAAACTCTGTACATATTATCATGAGCATGGCGGTACACGTGACAAGAATAACGGGGTCTACTTCGGATGATTGGATTTACTGGCACTTCTTTTACAAGTTCCCTTAATTACACTCAATTATAAGGCTATCGCTGGTTTACACACTTTTCAGTTCACCGTTGTAGGCGCACTAGGATTCTCAGTTTCCACTAGTCGTTTCCTAGCAAAGGATCTCAACATATAAACTAGCACTTCAAATCATTATGAAGTCTTCTTGCTATTTCGTCTTCAATCACTCTGGACCCTCTGAACTCAATTAACAATGCTTCTGGAATCTCTTAACTACAGTGCACTGCACTCTGCATAGTCTAAGCTACAACGGGTCTTCGTTATATGAGCTCTGCACCGACATCACAGAAAAGACAAGTCACGTGATTCCTGGACGAGTTCACTGGCGCGTTCACTATTGCCTCGCAACAAGCTATAACATTCGTTCACTAGGACACATCTTCTATTGTTGCACGTTGGAATGTGCTTACCGCGTAGTTGCCTAGAAAAGCTTTGAGCGCACACCGTTACAATATTTATTTCCCCATACGTGTTATGTGTCTTGCCCATCCCGTCCTCCTTGATGTAATCATTCTGACGATAATGTGTGAAGGGCTAAAATTACGAAGCTCTAACAAAATTGACGACAGAAGATACCGAAGAAGACTGTCTTCAGGGTTTCGATGCCTTGAAGCCCACATAGAATTTCACCGACGTTTCGGAGGAACGCACTGATTCCGAGTCGAAGAGTAAGATAAGCAAACAACTAACAAGAAACAACGAATGCTAATTGCTAGTTGGTTCCTTGGTTTGTTTTTCGACCCGGATGATGGAGACAGTATTTTCTTCCGAAACGTTCACTAATTTCTACCGCATTATACAGCATGGCATCCCAGAGGACATTAATCTTCATATTGACCGATGTGAGAACCTCACATCTAACAAACACAATGACTCTGTTCATGTACCTTATGTTCTTGTGCACAGACTCAGCAACTACGAGATCATGGCCGAATCAGTTACCCCTGTATTCAAGTTTGAAGCCGACTACGTCATGGACGGACAGCTACTTGTGTTACCCGTCAAGGGGAAAGGGAAATGCTTAATCTGGCTGGGTAAGTCAATGTTTCCTCACATTCTTACAAAGAACTGAAAACTACACACTGTCTTCTGGGATGTGGTCCTATGTAGACTGGTAGACATTTATAGACTTTACGAGGAACGTAAAAAAATCTATTAGACTAGACGGCGTCAATCCTAGAATATCGTAATTGTTATACTCAACGCTGTGAGTACCTCAAATAACAAAAAAGAAAAATCCGTGGCCTGTAGTCCGCAAGCTAACTATACCGACCCAGCGACCGCCGCTTGTCGGCGAAGTTAGTGCCAACTTTTGCGGATAGAGGGTGTCGCGTGATCAGCGCAACGGATCCCCGTTTCTAGACCGGAACCGCTATTTCCTTGAAATAGCTCCTCAATTATCATCACGAGGCTAAGTGGACTCCGTTCCAGACCCAGGACTTCTCAGAAAATCTGGTAGCGCCGGAATCGTAACCGGGACATCTGGATCTGTAGCCAGGAACTGTGACCACTAGACCACAGGGGTGGTCAAGTACCTCAAAAAAAAAAAAAAAAACTTTGAATTCAAAATTTCCTCTAAATAATAGACCTATAATTATTTAGAAAAAAAAATTCTACATGCAAGAAACAAGGCCTAACCATTACCAAGGCCAGCCTGTTCATGCCCTGAAGCAATATAACCACTGCGAAGTCTGAAGCTCTCACAGCGGTGACTATGAAACTTGCTGAAGATTCCTGTTTCGAGATATAACGCCGTGTAGTCAGTTGAAAGTCAAGCGACGTTTCGGAGGAACATATCACCTACATTTTCAGGCCCAAAGAATAAGCTGAGCACGAAACCAGAGTCACTGCTTCCCATCTGCTTCACGCGACATGTTTCTCCGAAACGTCAGTTGACTTTCAATGGATTACAAGGTACTATATCATATATATCCATAAATACCACTGAGAGAACTTAAAATCCTATATGGAAATTACTGAACCTTACCGCCATCTTTGGGCCGATTGTCTAGATAATGTGGGAGCCTCGACGTCTCACAACCCTATGGGCCTCCACGGCCTGTTACAGAGATAGCTTTACTTTACTTTTAAGGAAATTACTGTCTTGTCACATATGTTGTTATATAGATTAACAGATTGTTATCCGCATTTCCGAGGAACTTGCTGGCTCCATCTTCATGGTATCTTCTACCGTGACTAGGGATAACGTTCCTCAGAAGAGCGGGCAACTGTTTTCGAACAATGGGAAAAGTTCAAAAACCCAGCAATTTTGGGCAACTACTTACCAGATTATACGGCGCCAGAACACAGAGCTCTACAAAATAATCTGTTTATTCTGAGGAAAACATGAAACCCATTAACAGAATCTGTGGGGGAAAATTGTAAAGTTTCTGAATATTTATCTAACTTTTCCAATTTATCATTTCTTTATCAGTCTACAATTCGATGCTCTATTGACAGGAATGTATTATATTCACCTTGTGTTAATACCAAATTTTCCAAAGGTCGAAACACGCAGTAAATTTATAGAGTACAGTGTACCTATACGAATTAATGTGTTGACAGAGTGAAACGATAAAATTTGCCGCTGCGATACAATATTTTTATTTAGCGGTCATGGCCATTTTACGGGGTGTGTTGCAGACAACTTGATCACAAACCATGACATCAGGGGCAGGCCCCTGACTCGTGGGGGCGACGTCTATATGGACCTACAGTCATACACAATCAAAATGAGGACCAAGAGATTACATCTCAATTTCAAGAATCTTTTCAACGGCGACAAGACTCTCGGTAAGTCATTCCTCGGGGCTGTACACCTACAAATTCGTTCTGACTCCATATTTATAAGCAGCTCCTCGTGTAACTACCTCTATGGGGCAAAATTATACTTAATGACCTGAAAAGCGTTGAGGAGGTCAAGAAATTGCCCACCTTTTATGAAATCCAGAGTTTCATTCTGTTTTTACAAGAGAATCAGTGGATAATACCTCCAGCCACCTGAATCCATACCACATCCTCACACCTTATAAGCTCTCAATATGCTATAAATAACTCACTCTATAGAGCTGTATACCTCTTGAGAAGCCGCCAGTCGCTTAGCTGCTTCCCAACATTCTACGGAACCCGAAAATTCCTTACCCCTCCTCTGGTCCCTATCCTCAGCCCAGATTAATCTAATCCATACCACCAAATCCTATCTAAGATCCACTTTAATATTATCCACCCACATACGTATAGGTTTTCCGAATAGTCTCTTTCCTCCTGGATTTCTCACCAAAATCTTATATACATTCATCTGATCCCCATGCATACTACATGACCTGTCCATCTCATCCTCTATGACTTGATCATTCTACTTGGCAATGTACAGTATATACCGTTTGTATATGAAGAACTTTAGTAAGCGATTACATGAAGTACCGCGGTCAATCAAGAAACAGACCGGCAAACTAACCAATTAAGCGACAGACCAATCATTTAGTCAAAACAACTGACTGTAAAAATGGTGAACTTTATGCTGAATGTCTTGTTTCTTTAACTGAGTAGTGGAGAGATACAGAACACATTGCAAACGGCGCCATGTTTTGTCTGCAGGTGAAACCATGAACTCTTTCATGAACGAGAACTGGGACGTGATATTCACGGAACTGAGGCCGTCCTTGGAGAGAGCCTTCGGAAATGCGTTCCTTGAGTACGCCAAAGTTATCTTCGATCAAGTTCCCCATAATGACATCTTCCTACAATAAATTCTACAGCGAACTGGCAAACTATACCTATTTCTATTCACGTTTCAAAAGAAATACATTGATAAATTCTTTGCCAGTTTCAACCCAGTGAATACATAACAAGCAATCTTAAAAACATATTTTGTTAAGCAGACTTCTTATAGTTATCATATCCCCCCAGAGGTAGCAGCACTGTACGTAAAACGGTAATTTACTACGGCATCCCTGCTCTGCGGGTATTCAGCAACGGCTGCGTGTTTATCGTTTTGCATTAGCAAAACACACTTATTAATTTAACGGTATTTACATTTCATGGTAACTCAGTTATAAGCGATTCTTGCCAGTGCGTCAAACCTCGTCGTCTTTGACACGGCCGTCTGTCCGGCTGCATGAAATAAGAAAGATCATAATGAACAGATTTTGATTAAATTTGTTATTTACGGTACATGTTAAATAATAACGTATGAGATGAAACTAAATATTATGGATTACACACATTTACGAAGATCAAGAAAATATCTTTAAGGATATTTTAACACTGATGACGAAAAATGTTTCACAATGTATTATGTTATGCCGCGAAGATTTGCAGTTAGTGACAATCTAATAGAACTAAAAAAGTAAAAGTCTCGTCTGTGCTTAACTAGTTAAGCACTACGCTATGAAGGCGTATGTGGGAGTGGATGTATAGATCCACATTTTCTTGACCTCGGCACTAGCTGCAGGTGAGTGGCCAGCTTCACGCCCCAGCCGCTTTATCCACCGGGAAAGAGCTCCAGGTACCCATTGGATAGGAGGGTGGGTGAGCCCCAGAACAAGTCTGGACGACATGGAGAAGAGAATATTCTTGACCTTACTGGCACTAGAACTCCGACCCCTCGGTCGTCCAGCCCGTAGGTAGTCACTCTACCGACTGAGCTATCCCGGCTCCTAATACCAAGTTATTTTAATGGGTAAAAGTATCAGAAACGCATGTCTGTTCTGCAAGAGACTCTGATAATTTGAAAGGGTGCACCCCATAATGCATTGCATTCAATTCCCAAATGGGTTCCTTACTATTTATAAAGCTCACTTAGGGACCTCTGAATATATGTATAGCCTTAAATAAGTTGGACTCCTTCGTGGACCAATATTTTTGAAAACAGAAACTACTCAACAACTTTCAGTGTAAACCACACACACACATCGAATGTCAAAAACATTTGTCCTGTAGCTTAGGCGATGATGCTGTCAGTGGGAGACAGACGGGTAGAGACCGGCCTGGCCTTCAAACTGTTCTTTTTCTTTTCTTTTACTTTGTGAATGCATCTTAAAAAGTGTTAAACTTTTGTAAATATGTATATATAAATATGGTTCATTAAGCTAAGAACGATTTAAAATTCTTAAGTCTTGATTTAGCCTACGCACTCTGCAAAAGAAAGCGGGAGAAGGAATTGCTTTTCTCGATACTGAAGACATTTCAGAACTTCTGAAAATGTGACAGCAATGGCGACGGCAGGTGGGGAGGGAGAAGAAGAGCAAAACAGACATCCCCCACCCATGAATTGTTGTAAAAAAACACTAAACTAAAGACAAAACTCAAAAACGAACTCCGCGACTTTAGTCCGCAAGCGAACTATACCGACTGAGCAACCGCCGCTTGTCGGCGAAATTAGTGCCAACTTTAGCGGATAGAGGGTGTCACGAGGTGAGCGCAACGAATCCCCACAGCCGTTAATTTCGGTTTTCTACACCGGCGCTGCTATTTCCTTGAAATAGCTCCTCAATTATCCTCACGATTCTGAATGGACCCCATTCTAGACCCATTATTTCTCAGAAAATCTAGTAGTGCCGGGAACCTAACCCGGACCTCTGGATCTGTACCCAGGAACTACGCAAAAATTATTTTAAAAATTCTATGCTGAATACCCAATTGTGTCAGAAAGAAACAGTCGTACACGGCTACACACACACACACACACACACACATCATATATATATATATATATATATGTATGACACAGTTATTCCAAAGAGAAATCCAGCAAACCCCTCCAGAGAAGTGCGTAACATTACGGGATAACGACACGGTTTAGAGCTATGTTACATGCAGAACATTAAAGCAGGTGAGATAAGACTCTAATATACAATAACCCCGGGATTTAGATGTCGGCTTTTCACCAGAGAGCTCCGGGTTTGATGCCTGGTGACACATTCGTCGTTGACGAAGTGAATCTGGAGTATGCTATTCTCGAGTTTGACCGGTTTCTCCCTTCTAATGGCCGTCACTGCTGTTGCACACTCATCTATACCCGCTCCCAGATATATGCAGTAGTCATAACCAGGCGGCACATACTCATATACTGGGGTTTACCCCTGACCTGGCACTTGACTGGTTGCTGCGTAAACAAGTATATTGTTTTTATTTTACAGAATATCAAAGTTTTCCCGTGGCACATTCTAATTAAATTAATAGTCCAAGTGTGCTGGTGTTATCATTTGTATGTCTTAGAAAAGTATCCAGTTTCGTATCTGTTGCTTGGAAATGTAAAAGACTCACTCCACACTAAGAATTGCTCAAAGGGTAAATAAGTTATCATAACACCCAAAAAGTTTCTTGTGTGTTTTGTAGGTAATAGTGTTTTTATAAACACTGAAAGGATTCTAAACTAAATCACTGTACTAGTCCACTTTAAGCAACTGGATACTGTATACTTACTGCGATGTAATAAAACAATATCGCAACAAACCTACTGAATTTTGGGCTTAAATATGCATGGAATTGGAAACTTATGCTACGTTCTTTGTGGTGGTCTAGAAACCATAGAAACCATTGTTACTTGTTTATTGAAGTTATGAGAGAAAATAAAACTATTCTGTTACGACATTTCTAAGAATCTTTATTTTTTATCATGATGACATAATCGATATACTGGTTAGGTAATTTTCATGCATGTACTAGCCTCAGCAGCCCCTCAGTGACTCGAGGTTTCACTGAACATCCGTTTTGTAGTTTCCCTGGCAGATGTCAGAACTTCACTACGACAAAGGCACATTACCTCTCATTACTGTCTGTTCCTGCCATCTTGTGGTGCCGTTCTTAACTACTACCATCGATCCTTACTCCACGGCCACCTCCCGCAATCACCGAAGGGTGGGTTAGCATGATTGTGGGGGGGGGGGCTGTCCACTTGACTTCATATAGTGTGATAGATATACGAGTTCGGACGGAACACGCCACTGCGCTTATCGGAGACCGATACATCGACAGATTATAAGAATTTACAAACCTGGGTCACTCTGAATTCTGCTATGTCACGATTGCATTTCGTTGTGTAAGCTCGTTAACTCCTTTCTTCGGCACTTGAAATACAAAACCAGTGCAATATAACACATTAACGGGCTCCATGGGACAACCTGTTACATGAGAAGCTGACAGTTGCTCAGACTGTCAAGAAATTTCCAGCCTTTTTATGCAATTCCATGGTTCATTAACGTGCTTGATTGAAACCGCCACTAAGATCTATTCTGAGCCAACTGAACAATCCACAACCTGACACCTCATTATCTTTAGTCGGTTTATCCATTTCGATACTGTTCTCCATTCTATACCTACCGACCTACCTACCTACCTCACTAACTAACTCCATGGAGCTGAGTCCTATAGAAGCCAACAATCACTAAGCTACTCAAGAATTCTCAACATTTTATGGAGCCCCAAGTTTCATTACCGTGTTCACAAGAGCCTGCCAGTTGTCCTTATCCTGATCTAGAAGAATCCAGTCCATACCAAACCATCCTATCTAAGATCCATTTTAATATTACACTCCCACCTATGTTAGGTCTTCCTAGTGATTCTTTCCTTCTGGCTTTAATGCCAAAACCCTATATGCATTCCTATTCTCCTCCATGCGTGTCACATGATCTGCCCGTCTCATCCTCCTTGACTTGATCATTCTAATTACATTCGGCGAAAAACTATGAAGCTCCTCATTATGCAGTTTTCTCGAATCTTATATTATTTCGCCCCGTTTTGATTCATCACCCTGTTCTCAAATGACTTCAGTCTATGTACTTCGCCTAATGTTAGAGACCAAGTTTTGTACCGATACAGAACCACAGGCAAAATTACAATTCTGTACCCTTCCACGCCTAGGTCGCCTAAGTACGAGTCCCTGTAAATCTTACTTCGTCTTAATGAGGAATGGTATTTAAGTCTCAGCCAAAATCAGCAGTCGGAAGTCCGCCCCTTGGTCGTCCATCCCGTGTTCAGTCGCTATACGGACTGCGCTATCCCGGCTCCTTATGCTCATATATGTTGCATACAAAATATACAGAAGATGATAACGAAAGCGCGAGTGTTCACAAGTTTGCGGAGCATCGCACATGATTTAAACAAAACAGTTTATTTAGTGCGTGTTGCTGAGAGGCGGAAATTCGTTGCTCAGAGTCATCCCAGCGTAGCGCGTTAATTGTGATGTCATCTCCAACGCAGCAAGACCCTGAAGATAACGCTGTGTCATGGCCAGGTAGCGTGAGGGCTATATAAGAACTGCTTTCAGCCCTTTCGTAACAAAACTGCCGAACAACAACTGCTACAGGTGAGTCCCATTCATTACGTTCGCTACCGAAATATTCAGAGCTTGAGATAAATTGGGCATGTACCACGAATGTCGGGGCACGCGGTAGCGTAGTTGGTTGAGGCACTATGCTACAAGCCGGAAGGTCGCGGGTTCAAGTCCCGATGAGGTCACTGGATTTTTTTTCAGTTGACCTAATCCTTCCAGCTGCACTATGGCCCTGGGTCGACTTAGCCTCAAACAGAAATGAATACCAGGAATCTTCTTGGGGGTAAAAGGCGGCCGGCGCGTAGGGCTAACAACCTTGCCGCCATCTATAAGCAGATTTTCTAGAAAATGTGGGAACGTCAACATCTCACAACCCTATGGGCCTCCACGGCCTGTTACAGGGATACTTTTACTTTACCACGAATGGTAGATATGAGAAACTGTTACAAAATTTTGCAAGAAAACCTCCAGGAAATGGATTCTTTGGAACATCTAAACGTGTAATCTGGAAGATGGTTCCCAAGGTATTCAAGATACATAAAGCCTTTATGTAGGATTTGAGTTTTTCAAAGCGGCGGTTATGAAGAGCCATAACTTCTGAGATATAACGGACTATATGGTGTTATATGCCAGACGATGGAACTCCTCATAATGCCTCCATCTTCAGGACTGAACAGATTTCAACATTCAGGTCATACCTCACAAAAATATACTGCACCTCACTTTACTGAGTCAAAACTCTTAATGCTGTTTAGAAAATAATATACTGGTCACGTGACTGACTGACTACGGACGGGTTTTGGATTGATGATCGGATTTATTGGACTGTTTCATAGCAACTCATGGTTACACTTTACAGTTCACTGTTAAACACACACCCTAATGTCCACAGTCATGTTTTCACAGCCGTTGCTTGGTAGCGGCTTCCAACGGCGTACGTTCCCGTTCCTCTGGGTTCCCGAACTGTCCCTGGCCTCAACTACCAGCTTCTCACAGCAACAGCTCACAACGACTGAACCGCAGCAGTCCTCTCACTCACTCACTCACCCACTCACCAACCGACTCCTAATTTGTCTTGTTTATAACATGTAGGCACGGACCGCACACACAAAAAATGTTCCTCTGTTCTTTTCATGCCGCTGCCTAGTAACTGCCGTTGTATAGTTGCTCATTTCTCGGTGGTTGCCAAGCAACGGGTCTACATGCTGCATTTCTCCTTCCTTAAGGCTACACGTCACAATATATTTATTCTGAAAATCACAAGAGAACCATTAAACCAGTCTTTGGGAATAATGCAGAGATTTTGTGCTGAAACAGTCGATACAATTACCGTTGTGCTTAAAGTACTAAATATCACTGTACTGTTGTAAGGTCATAGACGGAAATGAAATATGAATGTCCAGTTTTCAGTTGCCATAATCAACAATGGAGCGTTGGTCAGGTCGCGTTGCCGTGGTGACAGGAGCCAGCAGCGGTATTGGAGCAGCCATCGCTGCAGAACTGACAAAGAAGGGGCTCAAGGTGGTCGGACTGGCCCGCAGAGTCGAGAGAGTCGAGGTATGTGGTTTTCAGTTACATATCATACGCCGTATCGTCATTCGATATATCTGTAAAGCTAAAAGAAATGGAAAAACCATCCCTGCAACAGGCCGTGGAGGCCCGTACATTTGTGAGACGTCGAGGCTTCCACATTTTTCTAGACAATCGGCTCGTAGACGGTGGTGAGGTTGTCAGCCTTACGCGTCGGCCGCCCTTTACTCCCATGAATATTCCTGGTACTCATTTCTGTTAGAGGCCGAGTCAACCCCAGGGCTATAATACACCTGAAAGGATTGGGTCAGCTGAAGTATCCAACGACCTCATCGGGAATCGAACCCGCTACCTTTCGGCTTGTAACCGCGCGCCTCATTGTAATTTGATGTACAGTATTTTTCTAAATTCGGTCGAACTCAGCAAGCTATGAGCCAGCAATGTTGTCATGTGTCACATCAGTGGGAAAATCAACAAACAGAACGTTCTTGGACGTGGCGAACAGAAAACCCATACGTCTCCGTGGAACACGGTACAGGCCTTGCCGTCTTCCGCCAGGAAGAATTGCAGTCTCTTCCAGCCAGGAAATGTGGCTGAAGACGGAGGCAGATATTTCCTTCGAAACACTGGTACTTTAAGTATCAAACCAGAAGCGCAGGCATAATGACCTCTAACAGAATAATCTGAAAGTTCACTGCCGTGAAAACCTCAAATATGATAATTACAAAGGCTGTTAACCATTTTAATTCCAAGCCCCGTCATAGAACTACCTGCTAGAAATACCAAGGCGGGTCAGGGATAAAAGCGGCTGCACAGAAAACCCTATGATACTTTCCTATAATGGCAAACAATTAGGAAAGTATTTAATGTGAAATCAAATTCACATATAGTGCCATCTATTGATGTAAATGCTGTACTAAGTGATTAATAACGAACCGGCTTCCTGGGCTGTGGCGGTTATAATACAGGCACCTTGAGCCGATGTTATCAATACCTGGCGTGGGAAGGGTTAACTAAACTACTGTACAAACCAAAATATAAACCTGACACATCAAGATGTCCGATAAAGAATATGGCTGTCACGTTTCAGGAACTGTCAAAATCTCTCAAGTCAGCGAAAGGAAAATTGTATGCGGTGAAGTGTGACGTCAGGAGAGATTCGGATGTTCAGGCGGCCTTCAAGTGGGTCAAGGCCAACCTCCGAGGAGTAGACATCCTCATCAATAATGCAGCTGTGGCATCTGACAGCTCTCTTGTCAGTAAGTGGCCACGGCAGTTGTCAATCCTAACAATCGTTTGATCTCTGTTGCTTGTTTAACGGACAACTTTTGGTAACATAGCATGTACATGTAATTAGAGACACCAGTTTCAACTGGACAATTACATGTTTATTTCTGTTCCAGACGGCTCAACGGAGGAGTGGAAGACAATGTTGAATTTGAACGTGCTGGGTCTCAGCGTGTGCACCAAAGAAGCGCTGCAGTCCATGAAGGAGAGAGGAGTGGACGATGGACACATAATTCATATTAACAGGTTCGTGATATTAAGTTATGCAGAAATATAATTACAATCAGACTTTCCACAGAAAGCGTACTGAAGCACGATAAAACGTACCAGCCATTTCTTTTCTGTGTAATTAAAAATAAGTCTTCACTATGCGTACAGAACATGTATGACTTCTCACAGAATTACTGGAGCTTTGGACTTTTTCCATCGTCCGGAATTTTAGGTAATAGAGGACACGACGTTTCGGAAACTGGATCTGTTTCCGTCTTCAGGTGAGAAAGGAAGACTCAGTTGGACCCTTACAAAGAGCTAATCTCAATCACTGGACAACACCTGTCAGATTTACCCAGCTGTTTCGACATGTAATTGTTCAACATGTTCATATATGTTCAACATATTTTGAAATAGCTGGGTAAATCTAACAGTTGTTCAGTGATTGAGATTGGCTCTTTCTAAGGGGCCCAGCGGAGTCTTCCTTTCTCACCTGAAGACGGAAACAGATCGTTTCCGAAACGTCGTGTCCTCTATTACCTAAAATTCCGGACGATGGAAAAAGTCCAAAACCACAGTAATTCTGTGTGTCATCCACCATCGTCAGAACCCTTTAGAATCTACACGTATGGCTTCTATTATGTAATTTTGAAGTTACGATTTTCTTTTATAATTATCATATATTGCAGTTAATTCCAAGACGAAAAAAAAAAGATATAAAATCAAAGAAAAATTATTTCAATTTCTGTACGTACGTATGCCTCGTATGAGGCAAAGTACCTGAAAAGCGACTTCCATGTGAAGTGCTGGGGTCTAGGAGGGATAAACTGTGTTGGTTTGTGGGTTCTGAATATGATTCCCAACGGTAGGATGAGAGATATTGTGAAAAGATTTGGAAGAAAACTGTCATCATCTAATTTAAGTACAATCCAGGTATTTGACTGGATGAACTGATGAAAACCACGGGAACCTCAGAACAGCCAGTGTTCTGGCAGAGATTCGAAGAAATAACCCCAACGATACGAGTACAGAACTTCACCGTTATGGTACCTCGTTCGGTGAAACGTGCTTGGAATACAGGGAACCAGACAAAGGGAATTGCGTGATTTAAAAATTTTGTCTCGAGGCTTATACATGTATACTAAATAAAGGTCGTTAAAACTGAACGGATACCGAACCTCGGGCGAAAAGCCAAGGAACGTATACAGAAATCTGACGTGTAATCAAACGTCTTCCTTTTGAAAGGCAAATATAAAGATGCGAAAAATTTATTAAAATTGATATTAAGGAAACATTTACATATGTATGAATTTGACTTTATTGGCATGCCATGTATTCCTAACTTCTTCTGAATTAGCCAAACAAGCAGGCAATACAACAGTGACTCAGTTATTTTTTTCTTCAATTTGGCATCACTGTGATAATAGCTCAGCATATTGAACATTCTGTTATTTTAAAATTCTGTGTATGCTACTGTACAGCAAAGCTATCTCTGTAACAGACCGTGGAGGCCCATACGGTTATGAGACGTCGAGGCTTCCACATTTTCTCTACACAGTCGGCTCACAGATGGCGGTGAGGTTGTCAGCCTTACGCGCCATCCGCCCTTCACCCACAGGAAGATTCCTGGTACTCATTTCTTTTAAGAGTCTGAGGCGAATGCAGGACCATAGTGCGGCTGGAAGGATAAGGTCAATTGAAAAATTCAGTGATCTCATCTGGAATCGAACCCGCGACCTTGCGGATTGCAGCATATTGTCTCAATCAACTACTTTATCGTGTGCCCCCATGCTACTGCATATGCCGTTAATAAGTGTGTTTCGTTTCTACAGTGTTGCAGGGCATATACCAGCAATGCAGTTTCTATGCATGTACTCTGCGACAAAACACTCCGTCACGGCGCTGACAGAGGGACTCCGACGGGAACTCGTCAGCCTCAAATCCAAAATCCGTGTCACTGTGAGTATAAACTGGTAGGATTCTTATTTTAAACCAGTACAACACCCGTTGATATTTAACGGGAAGGCTCGCCATTTGTTATATAAATTTTCGTAGTCATAACTTCCCTTGCCTCCTCTCGCACTCCTTCCCAGTTTTAATGTTCCAGATTGATTCGAAACCTGAATTTCCCCCAGGATTTGAAATTTATTGATTTTGAAATTCCTGTTGATTTCAGAGTCTGAGTCCTGGTCTGGTGAACACTGAAATGGCTCCAGAACACTTACTGAAAATATGTCCTTCCCTGAACCCGCAAGATGTCGCTGAGAGTGTTTTGTACGTTTTGGGTGCCCCACCGCACGTTCAGGTATGTGCTCGCACACTAGGCACTTCGATTCGACTACTCACAGCACAATGAAATATCAAATATTGAAGAAATAAAACGCAAGATTCAAGAATCTCTTTTAAATAAGCATTTCGAAGTTCATACAGGTTCTCAGGCTAACCCAGCTTCATATCCAATGGGTAACGGAGGTTCTTTCCCTGGGGGTAAAGCGGTCGGGGCGTGAAACTGACCACTCAGTTACAACTAGTGCTGATGCCAAGAATACTTGGATCTGTACATCCACTCCCCATATGCGTTGATTGCGTAGTGCTTAATTACTCATAAGGGCAACTTTACTTTTACCTCCCATGAAGACTTATATTTTCTGGGAAAATAAGGCCGTATAGTCCAAAGTCAACGGATGTTTCGAAGGAACATATTTCCTCCTTATTTAGAGTCGAAGAGTGATCCAAGCAAGAAACCAATATTAAGTAAGAGACAAACTTTACGCGGGTTTCTTGATTGGCTCAATATTATTGGCGAATATGTTTCTCCGAAAGGTCGATCGACTTTGAACTACGCGGCGTTTTATACCAAAAGATAGAACTCTTCATATTCACCGCTGTAAGAACCTCACAGCATGTATTTCTCATGAGTCATGGCGGATGCGATAGAATATTGTTAGCAGACCCATCTGTTGGCAGAGCAGCGCGCTCTGTGTACTGTCGGCGTAATATGTTATCACAATGTCACACTCATCATGGCGATACTGTAACGGATTTGATGAACGCGTTGCAAGGCAACAGCTCTGTACCAACACGGTCCAACACGCAACAACAGAGGAGGCTGTGTTTTCTGTAGATCAGACCGACGCGCCAATAGAATGGTTGGATAGCGATCACGTGCTATATGTTTACTGTAGGTCCATATTCATTCCGCGGCTATATAAGGGAAATGTGACTGAAATAAGAGAAGTACATGTTTCGAATCGTAAAGGTATTATGATTTCAGCTAATTTGAGGAAGTGCAGAAACTTCTACAAATGATATACACAAAATTAAAAAAAAAAACAACTAAATCGTCTATGTCTCTGGTAGTAGTAGTAAATTTAGGGATATCTTCCATTGTTATTGCTCTAAAATAAATGTCAAATGTCAAGTTAAAGTTGGGAAACTTGTCAGAGCATGTAATTATTAAACTTGTGAGAAACAAGAATAAATGCGAAGAAATTCGTTGGATTTGAGGCTTTCATACGGTGACTGTGATGTTATGCTATGTAATTCGGTAGAAGTTCACCTACGTTTCGGAGGAACTTGCTGTTTCCATCCTCAGAGCGTAACCTGATAATGGAGGCAGGATATTCCTCTGAATCGTAGGTGAAATTCTACCCGACTACACGGCGTAACTTCCCAGAAGACAGTAAATCTGCTCATCGTAAATAAATTTTTCTAAACTTGTCATAATATTTCAAACCACTGAAGCGTTGATTTCACTCACAATAGCCACTTCCTTGATCAAGTCTGAAACACCTACAGAAAGACATATTAAAATAGATACAACTTGTCATAAAATACGTGTCAAAATGAAATTCAATAGACGGAGTATGAGAATGCTGTAGGATTTTACTGATTTAAGTGTTCTCTTCTTTACAGATACACGAGCTGACAGTAATACCGGTCGGACAAACTCTCTGAATTCAAGTTTATATTCCCACATCAAGTGTTGTTTCTTTCTACAAGAAGCTACTAGAGTGTTGCTCATACATCTATGCCACAATTACCTGAATATTACTTTATAACAAGTAATTATCATTACGACCACATTTCAACCCCCAAATAATACTGTTCTAACGAATCACGTATGAGGTAGCGTAGTTGATTGAGGCACTATGCTACAAGCCGGAAGGTAATGGGTTCGAGTCCCGATGTCATTGGATTATTTTCAATTTAACTAATCCTTCCAGCCGCACTATGGCCCTGGCGTCGACTCAGCCTCTAACAGAAATCAGTACCAGGAATTAATTAAATAATTTTCCTGGGGAGTGAAGCGCGGCCGGTGCGTAAGGCTGACAACCTTACCGCCATCTTTGAGCCGATTGTCTAGTTAATGTGGGACCCTCAACGTCTCACAACCCTGTGGGCCTTCGCGGGCTGTTACAGGGATAGCTTTACCTTACTTTACCTTTACCTAACGAAAGAGACATTATTAATTGAACGTCCATCTTATTTTATTTTTTGTAATTTTGCTGTGTTTAAATCATCCTTGATTTTGCACCATCAGCAAATAGTGGCACAGATAGTTACATCATTACTAGGTACTAGTTTCAACATAAAATGTGAACCAAAATCGTCACCAAAGTATTCGTTCAATGATAAGGACTTTCAGTAAGGTTGCCTACTCATGGTATGACACACCCTCAAAGACATTTGAGATAATGTCATTTAAAGATGTAATTTAGGACGAAAATAAAAAGAAATATTTCTCATACAGAGACATTTTATTCTTTTCCTCCACCCAATCAATTAAATTTAGAACAGCAACTCAAACCAGACGCCACTCTGTGGTGATCAACAAACCCGTTTTCCATTCAGATCGCTTTATGGTGGTAATTTAACGACGCTGTTATTATCGAGACCATATTATTCCCCGATACAAGTGCCTCAGTTGCGGTGGTGACTACGCTGAGAAGTAGCTTAAGTACATATGTACGCATTTTTTGTATGTAATAAATTATTTTTCTTCAACGCTTGTTTTGTTGGCAACTCACCGAAGGTTACTTTCTGAATAGACCTAGTAAATTTTACTCTGAAAATTGAGGCAGTATGTTCTTCCAAAATGTTAGTATTCACCTAGGACACTACACACTTTCACAACCCTGAAGATCACAGAATGACTTCTATATTGAAGACTGAATCAGTACGTTCGTTCGAAACGTCAGTAAGCGTCTACCAGAATACACTCAGAAGACTACAATACGAAACGAAGAATAGCTCAACTATACACAGAATTACTGGGGTTTTGGACTTTTCCCATCGTCAGAACCTTTTAGAATCAACTCAATTATAATCTTAATATGAACCACTGATACCTTCATTCATAGCCCAAAACACGTGCTGGATGGAATCTCTCTACTTCGCGAGTACAGGACTACAGATTTACCGCTACACTAGCCTGCTGGGTTCTTATGCGAAGTGGAAAGTAAAACCTCTATGGGGATGACGTGTTATTTTTATTTTCTATTCAGCTCAAAACTGAGGTTCTATGTATTAAATAATGCACTTATTCATACACTGTATCTAGGCTTGTCATTCAGGCTTAAGGTTCGTAAAAAAATATGATAAATCTTGTGGTATCTAATCTACTTTACCAGTCAAGTTCACAGACGTGAAGTGTTTTTTATCCAGTTTGCTCTTATGAAATACGGAGAATTTTGAAATGATAAGGCCTAATCTACACACGAAAATGTATATCCTTCAGCATAAAATTTATGCACACAGGCTTGTAGTTTATGAAAAGATACAACTGGGCACAGTCACACAGCAAATAGCCAAAAAGGGACAAAATAGACACTGTGTCAACGTTTGTTTTTTTATTTTGTGTTGTGCGCCCCCCCCCCCCCCACCGCCCGAATCATATTTTTCGTAAATAGCAGACAACAGGGTGCGTATCATACAGGGCTTGTACGTGTAGTTGACAATGTGTCCTGAAACATATCGTCCACTCTGTAATAAAAGGACAGAATTTGTCTTACGTATGTATGTATGTATGTATATATATATTTATTTATTTATTTATTTATTTATCCAGAGGATCCGTCCAGGTCCGAGGCTTTTTGAACATTTTCGCATCAAGCTTATTTTTTACGGTGAGCAGTTGTTAGCCCCACGCTCAACCCCCAAGCTGGAGGACCACTTCTTGTCAGGTCTTCTGTACGGGTGAGAAACTTGGTTTCTGATAATAAGGGAGGAACATATACTGAGGGTGTTTGAGAACAGAGTGTTGAGGAGAATATTTGGGCCGAAGAGAGATGAAGTGACAGGAGGTTGGAGAAACTGCATAATGAGGAGCTTACTAACTTGTACTCTTCCCCGAGTGTAATTAGAATGATCAAGTGAAGGAAAATAAGGTGGACAGGCATGCAGCACGAATGGTGGAGAAGAGAAATGCATGTAGGATATCGATGGGAAAGCCTTATGGAAAGAGGCCGCTGGGAAGACGAAGGTGTAGGTGGGTGGACAATATTAAAATGGATCCCAGAGAAATATGATGGGATGGTATGGACTGGATTGATCTGGCACAGGAAAGAGAACGCTGGAGGGCTCTTGTGGACACAGTGATGAACCTTCCGGTTCCATAAGGTGGTGGGGAATTCTTGAGTAGTTGCACAATTGGCGGCTCCTCGAGAAGCGCTCACAGCGCTATGAGTGAGTGAATGATGTATATATGTTATTAATTTACATAATATGATGCATCCTCGTGCCACGATGAAAACAGAGTCCCTCTGCCAAATACTATAAGATTTTGGGTTCTCACAGCGGTGGTTATGAAGAATTCTATCTTCTGGGATATAGCGCCGTATAACGGAGTGCACAGTGTTAAGTTCCAGAAGACAGAACTCTTCTGTCTCCAAAATGTTGATTTCTGCTCAACATTAATGCAGCTGAATCCGTGAAGGATTTTAGTGCACTCACTGCGGTAAGCTTGAAAACTTTCAAAGATTTAGATCATAATGGGATCAACAATGTACCAGTCTAAGCTTTGACGACGGCTCATTATTTACTTTGATTCTCGGGATACCTCAGTTGATATAGGGACTGGCTACGGGCCGGGCGGACGAAGGAGTGGATTTCGATTTCCGGTAGGCGCAAGATTTATCTCCTTTCCACGTCGTCCAGACCGGTTCTTGGGCCCACCCAGCCTCCTATCCAGCGGATATAGAGAGAGCCTGGCCATCCACCCCCAACTAGTGCTGAGGTCAAGAATACGTGGATGTATACATACGCTCCCCCATACACGTCCGTGGCATAGTGCTTAATAGTTAAGTATAGAGACAACTTATCTTTACTTTTGCCCGCTCTCATAGCTGCACACCATGTGGATGCGGGTAAGTTAAAGATGTTCCTGTACTTCACTAATTAAGCACTACGCCATGAAGACGTGTGGGGGAGTGGATGTATAGATCCGCATTCTCTTAACTTCGCACTGGTTCGAGGTGAGTGGGCAGCTTCACCCACGGTACCCATTGGATAGGAGGTTGGGTGGAACCCAGAGCCGGTCTGGACGACGTGGAGGAGAGAGAATTCTTGATCCTACCGCGACTCGAACTCCAACCCCTCGGCCGTGCAGTCCGTAGCTAGTCGCTATACCGACTGAGCTATCGGGTAGTGATACCGATATACGTAAAAACATATAAAGACAGGCAGGCCTATATGTTTCTCCTAGAAGCACACTGATTCAGTAATGAGATGGCTTATGGTATCGAAATTATGGTCCTATGTGATGTGACGCCGTGCTGTTTGGTAGACGCGTACTAACGTTGGTACCTGTAAACATATCTGTTCCACCTGTTATGGAACTTCCATTTATGGTATGTTTCACTAGCATTACACAGCAATGCTCCGGAAAGATGACAGCATAAAAACTAGGTAACGTGACTTGCTTCGCTGTAAGGCTGAACGTCATCTAAACATACATTGAAAACTAGACCTTAAGGCCACCGGCCAGTTATTTCTAATGACATGATATAAAAGGAAGGGAGGACAGCTGTCTGTGAGTAGTCTTGCGTCACTAACAGCTGAGAGCAGACTGGTTATTACATTGCAGTACGGCTTTGTGCCTGATATCACAGCGGTAAGTTCCTTATTTTTTTGTGAGGTGTCCTTGGTATATTTAGTTTCAGTTATGGCCGATAATATTCAACCCGTATGGTTAATTGATAACTTAAGGTTTCCTGCATTTGAAGGTATCCAACTTGAAACCGCCAAGGGCAAATATTAATTGGTAACATGAAATGCCTGCGTTGACCGTTGCTAGTTTTAATTTATTTTATTCGCAGAGTCGCCTGAGACATTAGATACAGGATAATTAAATTCTGTGCGATAACATATCAGTTAAAGATACTCAGTTGCTGTTAACACAGTTACTTCACAAAAAACACCACAGCGGCCGTGAGAAATCTATAATTAGTTTTCCGTTTTATAACCGATAACTCCTTTTACTGCCGCATATGTATATATTACTTACTTACTTACTTACTCATGGAGCTCAGCCCTTCTTGAGGAGCCGCCAATTCTGCAGCTGCTCAAGAATTTCTCAGCATTTTATGGAACCCGAAGGTTAATTACCGTGTTCACAATCGCCCTCCACTGGTCCCTGTCCTAAGCCAGATAAATCCAAAATCCATACCATCCCATCCTATCGAAGATACATTTCAATATTGTTAACCCACCTACGCCTTGGCCTTCCCAGTGGTCTCTTTGAGGCTCATAGGATATAAGCTGTAACCCCTCGTGTAGACTTCGACGTTTCCCTTGCCTATGACCACTCATTATGTGTCCTAGCTTAAATTCGTCCGTTTTGTGGTTGGTCTCATGGCTATGTCTATAGGAGGTACAAATATGCTTACAGGACATACTGTGTACAGAAGAATGGAGCGTTGGTCAGGTCGCGTTGCCGTGGTGACAGGAGCCAGCAGCGGTATTGGAGCAGCCATCGCTGCAGAACTGACAAAGAAGGGGCTCAAGGTGGCAGGACTGGCACGCAGAGTCGAGAGAGTCGAGGTATGTATGAATTACTTATCATACCCAGTATCATATTGTCATACAAACATCTTTCCAAATTCGGCTGAACTCAGTAAGCTATGAGCCAACAGTGTTGCCAGAATGTTCAAGGACGCAGACGTTCCCCAGTGTAAATACATGTACTGGTGAAGCGTGATCAACTGCACGGCCCCCTCGGTCACCCGACCTTGCACCGGGAAACTTCCTTCTGTGAGGTTACGTAAAGGAACACGTGAATCGCACCGTCCACTAAAAACCCTTGCTGAACTGCAAACACGGAATTTTGCAGGTGTTGCCTCCGTTAGGATGGGACACGTAGAACTCCACTGGTGTTACACGAGACACCACACGGAAAATTTGCGGAAGTCAGAAATGCACTATGAAAAAAGTCGAATACAATGCACCTTTCCATATTTAATATTCTGTATCTTTGATATAAGGTTACTTAATTGTGCTTCTAAATTTAGAATCATGGAGCATAAATCTGAAATATAAATTTGTGCCCCCCTTCAAAAGAACATTGTCTTTCTTGAGCAACTGATACTTATACAGCTGGTCACATAACTTCCCCCGACTCCTATGCGAAACCGTGGGATCCCGACCAAATTCACAGTCTCCAGTCACTGGAGCCCACCCCCATCTGCTGCGCATGTTCGCACTGGCAACACATGTATCTATATAACTACAGCCACACCACATTAACGTGAAGGAAGGAACAAAAGGAACAATGGGAACACGACTGCCAATTAAGAGGGATTAGAAAGAGAACGGGAGGAGATAGAAGACAATAATGATGCGATGGCTCGTGTAGTAAAACAGAAACTTCTCTTCCATTCTCATCGGGCATTACATTAGGGGCCATGTAAATCCAGTTGATAAGTGCCAAATGAAGAGATCTTCGTTCAATCACTGCAGCCTCTAGAGGCAACCTGAATGTATTATACGTACATTTGAAGTCGGATTTAACCAAGGTCATGTAAATGTAAATCATAGTTTCTTTTTAAATAGCGATGGCTGCCATGTTTCAGGAACTGTCCAAGTCTCTAAGTTCAGCGAAGGGCAAACTGCATGCGGTAAAATGTGACGTCAGCAAGGAGGAAGACGTTCAGGCGGCCTTCAAGTGGGTCAAGGCCAATCTCGGAGGAGTGGACATCCTCGTCAACAACGCCGCTGTGTTGTGCGCTACCTATCTTTCCAGTAAGTCTCCATAGCACCTGTCGGCCCCTTATTGCTGTCCGTGCTATTAAGACGCATATGACCCAGGATATTTCAGTCAGCATAAAGCGTAGGCTATGGGATGGATGTACTAGAATTTTTGAGTTCAGTTTCCCCGAAGGACATAGATTTCTATCTTGCGCACAGCGCCCAGACCGAATCTGGGGTCCACCGGAGGTCTCCTTCTAAGGACAATTCGGCCAGGACGTGAAGACGGTCTGTCACAGGCTAAGAATGCTTAGATCTATACCTCCACTACTCACCCATGCATATTCGTATTGAGGTGTTTAATTAAGCACAGTTAACATTATCTTGCCGGTCACGGTAGCCGAGCGGTCTAAGGCATGCACTGTCTTCTCTCGCTCGGACGCAGGGATCGTGGGTTCGAATCCCACTCAAGGCATGGATGTCTGATGTGCGTATGCGTTTATTCTGTATTTATGTTGTCCTGTGTTTAGGTAGTGGCCCTGCGACGGACTGATCACTCGGCCAAGGAGTGTTACCTTCTGTAAAAAATGCTTACGAACTGAATAAGAGGCCTGGGACCTGAATGGGCTGAAAGACCCATTGAAAAAAATACCTTAACCGTGAACTGTACAAGGGAGTGCAGCTATATATCCAAGCATTTTTAACCTCGGTACCGGATGGAGGCGGTGAGCCGTGATAGCGGGATAGGTACGGGGTGGACAACCAAGAGGACGGATTTCAAATCCCGGTACTGTCAAGAATTTTCTCTTCTCCACGTCGTCCTGACCGGATCTGGGGCCCACCCAGCCTCCTATCCAATGAGTACCAGGTGCTCTTTTCACGGGATGTAAAGACGCCGGGCTGTGAAGCTGACCACTCAACTCCAACTAGTGCCGAGGTTAAGAAAATGTGGATCTATACATCCACTCCCACATACGTCTTCAAGGCGCGGTGCTTAATTAGTTAAGCACAGGTACAATTTTACGTTTTTCTTACCCTTTACATTTTTTTTTTTTTGCTAGTGGGGTGGGACTAAGTCCCTTGTACTGCGGCCACTTCTGGCGTATTGTACCAGCCCCAGGTGATAGGTGAGGGTGATTGTGGGGCAATTGGTGGAATGAAGACTGATAGGGGAAACCGAAGTACTCTGAGAAAACCTGCCACAGCGCCACCTTGTCCACCACAAATCCCACTTGACTAGACCCGGGATCGTACCCGGGCCGCCGCGATGGGAAGCGAGCGACTAACCGCTTGAGCTATGAGTGGGATCTAAACCCGATATGGATGCGACAGCAAAGAGAAAATCCCTGTTTGATTTGAGGTTCTCATAGCACTTGCTCTGAAGAAGACTACAGCCTGGGATATATCTGTGCTATGCGGTATTACACGCCAAACACAGTTCTCTTTCAGAATAATCTCTGATTCCGTCGTGAATTCATATCTTCATTTCCGTTTTTCTGTGGCTCATCTAATTCTGATAAATGGGAGAGACATTCCGGCGTGGTTACACGTGAAGCCTTGAACGTTCATATCTTTCTTTTACAGGTGCACCAACAGAAGAACTTAAACGTATGTTGGACCTCAACGTGCTGGGTCTCAGCGTGTGCACCAAAGAAGCGCTCCAGTCCATGAAGGAGAGAGGAGTGGACGATGGACATATCATACATATCAACAGGTGCGTGAGGAAGAAGTTGTGAACTGTAAGTTAAGTTGCCTTTCTTGTCAGTCGAGTTCAGATGTTCATGTCACTGTATAACAAAGCAGGCTATGTACCAGCCAGTCTGTTCAACAAGCAACTCATACCAATCTTGGATTACAGACAATGGTGAAATTGTTAATAAGCTACACATTTTCATCTGTATCTGAAACCCTTTTTAGGTATAAACTGGCTGTTACCGTACCTCCGTCAAAGTAGTTCTCGCATTTTTTGTTTTAATTCGGATAAAAATTCCCACATTCACTGTACATGTCGGACGTCCTTCACCAAACAAGGAAAAGTATCGCTTTGTAAGCAGATCATATCTGTACCTCCTTCCATCCGACTGTGACCATCTGTCAGCCTCTAAACCATTCCACAGAGTCTGCTTAAATTCGACAGTTGAAAACTTTCATTAAGAGTCGATATAAAATTCCGATTATCAACCACACTGATCAATAACAAAGTCTACTTACTATTAAATCATAAGTGACTTTCATTAATCACATGTTGATCATATTTGTTGAAATCCGATTTAAGGGGGCGCGTAAGACTGATTTCACCGCCATCTGTGAGGCGACTTTCTAGAAAATGTGGGAGCCTCGACGTCTGACAAGCCTATGGGCTTCTACGACCGGTTACAGGGACAACTTCACTTTTAACTTCACTAGCACACCACAGAATCTGGCCGTAATGTGTCTTTGGAATGTTACTGTAACATTTTAGGAATTCGGATAGATTGCTGCTGGTTCTCGCGAGCACAGTCATTCTTTCACGGCTCTGGAAGTCGTGCATCTATTCTACCGCTTACTGTAGCATATCCTGTATAAGAGCGCAACTTTCCTGCGTTCCCTGCCGCAGCTCTGACAGAAAACACCAAAAGATACCATGAATTCCTGCCAATATATACGACAGCCACGAATGCTTAACCGATGTCCCATTTGAGTTAAGTTTTTTTTATGCTACTCTTATCTTCAATCCCAAAATGCATATTTAATTACGCGAATAACCTCTAATTCCTTAATATTTATAATATTTCTTTAAAAAACTCGGTAATAGTTGATTTACTGTGATATCCAAAAGGAAAGCCGTCACATATCGGGTGTAGAGTGGTCATCTCCCACTGGTTGTTATTAATATTAACAGGAAGTTCTTAAATCAAAGTTTATTAATTAATGTAGCCCTATGTGGGCTATTTTGTTGCGTATTAACCATATTCCAAATAACCTGTCATCCCACTTGATGTACAGTAACATAGATTTAAATTTTCATTTCGTACCCAGTGTTGCTGGTCATATACCTCCAGGAGAAGCTTACGCCATGTACTACGCAACAAAACACGCTGTCACAGTGCTGACAGAGGGACTCCGAAGGGAACTCGTCAACCTCAAGTCTAAAATCCGCGTCACTGTGAGTATAAACTGGTAGGATTCTTATTTTAAACCAGTACAACACCCGTTGATATTTAACGGGAAGGATCAACATTTGTTGTACAAGCTTTCGTACTCTCGACTTACCCTGCTTTCTCCTGTATTCCTTTCCAGTCCTACATGTTACAGAACTTTATGTTTAGGTAGACATTTAACATCGTCATCCCCNCTGTTAACGAATTTTATGTTTAGGTATACATTTAACACCCTCCCCCCCCCCCCCCCACCGATTAACACAGTCAGCCGTAAATCTTCATTACAGAGCATACTACAAATCACATTTTCACAGAAAAAATATTATTATTCAAACAGTAAGCACAATACATGAAACCAAAAGCCTCCTCTCTTGCTTGTCACCTACTACGAACTAATTGAGTGCTTCAGAGCGTTTTCTCATTGTTATATTAGTTTTATATTTTTACAGAAGTCTGTAATTCTTTTTACATGTGTAAGAGGCTTAAACTTGGCGGTGGTCAAGCTTACGACCTTTCAAGTGACTAAGCTACCGTTGTAGCATAAGATACGTAATATAGACATGATCTGCTTTGCAAAGTCTGCACTGACAGATGATTTGTATTTAGTGTGAAAGGAAGAATTTTCAGTAACAGGTGACATTTGCGATACGTACAATTTACGCAAGAACAAGCATATTAATAAGAGAGAAACCCATCTTCTCGTCAGAGAGGACGTTACATAAGGACTGTAATTATAGAACAGAATTTTAGACTAAATTGAAGGAAAAAAACTATTTGTCGTGATTCTCAAAGGGCTTGATGCCAAGAAGAAACTGATGAGCGGTAAACCGCCAGTCGTAAACAAATTTCAACTTTTACATATGGAGAGAAAGGGTTTGTTTCACATTTGGAACAAGGCATTCTGGGTTTCTGAAACTGTCCATCAACGGTATTCCGAAAAGAAGACAGCAGATTACTGGTGCAATGGCTGACATTAGTTCTTTCTAAGTGACCGAACAGAGTAAACCCTCTTCGCCTTTACATGTGACGACGGAAACAGATCCAGTTTCCGAATTTTGCTTTCTATTCAAGAAGTCGGATGTGAAGCTCAATAAACTCAGTACTCCCAAGTGTAAGAACCTATGAAACTGATATTTTGACGTATTATCCACAGGAAGCTCATCTGGCAAAAGGTAAAGTTGTCCCTGTGCTTAACTAATTAAGTATTACACCATGAAGGCGTATGGGGGAGTAGATGTATAGATCCAAATTCCCTTGACCTCGGCACTAGTTGGAAGTGAGTGGTCAACTTCAATCCCCGGCTGTTTTACCCCTGGGGAAATCTGAATATATGAAATTTCACATACTCATGATAAACACACAACAACTCCATCACACATACCAGTCAATTAATGCTATTTATTGAAATAATCGCTATATATATTCTGACAACCATAGAAATCCTTAATACCCACCGTACTGTAAAATTTCACTTTCTACATTACCGTCCTTTCTTTTTACATTACAGAGTCTCAGTCCTGGACTGGTGAGGACTGCAATGCCTGTCCAAGAGTTTTTGGACACCTGCCCTTCCCTGAACCCTGAAGATATTGCTGATAGCGTTTTGTACGTTCTGGGTGCTCCACCTCATGTTCAGGTTTGTTCAGATTTCAACTAATTGATCATGATTTTGCATGCAGTGACGGAGCATTAAAATACAGTACACACGAACAAGAACTACCAACAACACAACTAGGTTCGCATTATTTTGAATTTATTAAATAACTCCCCATATTTCAGTCCTAAGGGCATCAACTCCGCTGATATATATTCGCACATATAATCAAGATGAATAATACTAGTCAGCTTCACGCTAGAGCACCTTTACCCCTGGAAACCAACGAAGAGGACCGAGTAGTTTGGCCCAACGCTAAGTGTCTGTACTATATCTGGTTCTAATCGCGGCTCGAGCAATGAACAGTCCTTCTGATATTCTTCCGGTTCCTCTCAGTAATTCCACACGTATAACGACACAGTACCTTGATAGACCACGACCGCTTCCTTTCGAAACCTTTACGTCTCATTAAACACGAGTGTTCTGTCATTTCCTTCACCATTCAGTGTATCCTGTAGCTGATAATGCGCAAGCTGAATAATAAATAAACAATAATGCATCGATTGGTGGAGCGCTGGGTGAGTCCCAAACATTATGTGAATGCGCTGGTGAGAAGAAAGATCTCTGCTTCTGCAGGTAATGGAATCCCAGTGTTGCAGCCTGCGTTAAGGATGTTCTTGAATGGGACTTCGGCCTTTTGGGACGTGTTCATTGTTTCAGAGGTACATGTTGCCTCAGTCTTCTCTCTTCTACCCTGAAGATGGAAGCAGTTTTCTTCTTCAAAATGTTGCTATCTAAAAAAAGTATACGGCATCACAACAAGGGAGACCATCCTCTTAATGGTGACCGCCCTGGTAACCACAAGTCTCACTTTCCTGACTCATATACCCCGGCTCACACACGTAGGAATGATATTATTAAAATCGTCACGAAGTATGGAGTGAGTTCATATGGGGTTGGGATTGCTAAATGGATTTACTGACCACTTACAACTCGCAACTACAACTGTAACACTATCAATATTTCCGCACTTCACAAAACCACACTGTCCTTTCCAGCCCGCCGTGTTTTCATTAGCAGTTGCCTGGTAACGCCTTCTAACAATGGCTAGTCATCTGCTTCCGAAGTATCGTCCTCTCTGAACGGCGGCTCCCTTCCGTATTCCTTACAAACCTTTTGCGCGGACAGAGAAAAAACACCGTTTCCATGAGTACCACTATTTTTGCAAGCGTATCCGTTGCAGCGGGAACGTGTTTACCGAGCCGTTGCCTAGAAACGGCTCTGGTATGTTTGCTTACCTCTCGGTCATTAAAAAAAAAGAATTATTCCGTTGCTTCAGAAGTGTTCTCAGACCTATTTCTCCTTTTGATTAATATTTTAAAACCATTTTTAATCCTGCTGCAGTTCATCATGTTAATGAGTTCAGATTATTCTGTATTAGTCCATAAATTTTGTTGCATGTGGAATTTGCTGTTTTCTAAAAATTTCTCCATTTATTTCACGGTCTGAAAGGCCGTATTCAGCAGTCCTCCACATGAAACTCATTTCTGTGATATAAAACATTTCTCTTCACGAAGAGTTCCATCTTCTTAGATATCAAGTCTTGCAGTCCGTTGAAAGTCAACGGACTACAAGGCGTTATATCCCAGAAGACATAACTCTTCATAAACTCAAATAGGCGTACTATTGCGTTATCAGTTTCCACTGTTCATGTTTGTCCGGACGTTACTGCTCATATACAAACCACTTTATTTCAATAAAATACCTGTTGTAATTTCTTGCCTCGTACGGCCTATGCATGCACTTAATAACGTTCCCTTCTTTGCAGATACACGAGCTGACCATAATACCAGTTGGACAGATCTTCTGAAATACTGCGTACATTTTCTATGTGTACACGGACGAAGGAATAATTAGTATTAATTATTCAGTCGATTTATTTAATTTAACTCTGTAACAGTATCTTAATTTGTAATTGAATGTAAATGCAAAATATATTTGTTAATTATGTGAATGCACTTTATCCTGTGTAAATGAATAATCAAAAGTATGTATTTGTTATACACAATGTAAAAGTATAAAAGGTAAAGCTGTCCCTGTAACAGCCCATGTAGGCCAATAGGGTTGTGAGACGTCGAGGTTCTCACATCTTCTACACAATCGGCTCACAGATGACGGTAAGGTTGTCAGCCTTACGCGCCGGCCACCATTACCCCCTAGGAAGACTCCTAGTACTCATTTCTGCTAGAGGCTCCGTCGACCACAGGGCCACAGTACAGCTGGAAGGATTAAATTGAAATATCCATCTCATAGGGACTCGAAACTGCGACCTTCCGGTTTGTATCATAGTGCCTCAACCAACTATGCTACTAGGCCGCGCCATAGCTCAAGCGGTTAGTCCCTGGTTTCCCACCGCGGCGGCCCGGATTCGATCCCGGGTCTGGTCAAGTGGGATTTGTGGTGGACAAAGTGACGCTGGCGCGGGTTTTCTCCGAGTACTTCGGTTTCCCCAGCCAATTTTCATTCCACCAAATTCTCCAACATCATAATCACCCGGGGCAGGTACAATAGGCCAATGAGTGGCCGCCGTGCCGAGTGGACCCAGTTGGACTCCACCCCCCAATAAGCGAAATAAAAAAAAAAGGTCCGAGAACGAAGTAAGGTCCACGAAGACCCATGTGTTGAAAACAATCATATATTCCGGAAGAAGCGGATAAAATAGAATTTTCCGGAATGTCCCACTCTTGGTGAGGGGTCACAGGTTAGCGTAATTTGTTGAGGCACTACGCTACAAGACGGAAAGGTCTCGGATTATATTCCCGATGAGGTCAGTGGATTCTCAATTGATCTGAGCCTTCCAGCCTCACTCTGGGCCCTGGGGTCGACTCATCCTCTTAACAGAAATGAGTACCAGCACCAACGAAACTGAAACGGGGAACATCTTTCGAAACTTGCAGTCTCATGGCGTAAGTTTCAGTATTGCTATACGGCAAAATCGCACAGTGTTAGGGAAGGCGTTCCGATGACCATGACTTGCTGTTTTCGTTTGAATTCTTTTCACCCATACAGAACTCCATACAGATGGGTGTTAAACTTTGTATCTGACATTAAGGGAGGAACATAGGCTAGGGGTGTTTGAAAACAGGGTGCTGAGGAGAATGTTTGGATCGAAAAGGGATGAAGAAACAGGAGGTTGGAACTACGTAATGAGGAGTTTCAAAACTTCTACTCTTCGACAAGTACAGTCAGAATGATCAAGTCAAAGAGGATTAGATGGGCAGGGCATGTAACACGAATGGGGAGAAGAGGAATGCACATAGGATATCGTTATGAAAGCCAGAAGGATAGAGACCACTAGGAAGACCAAGACGTAGGTCGGTGGACAATATTAAAATTGATAGGATGGGGTGGTAAGGATTGGATTGATTTGACCCAGGACAGGGACCAGTACAGAGCTCTTGTGAACGCGGTAATGAACCATCGGGTTCCGTACTATGCTGGGAAGTTCTAGAGTGGTTGCACAATTCACGGCGTCTGAAGAAGGTTTCAGCTCCATGAGTGACTGAGCAGTGATGACTTGCATTTTACGCGGCGACAAGCCTGCCTTGCGTAACAGCGTGACTTGCATTGCAATAAAGTTGAATGTTTCATTTAAGCTGCATCCGTGAATAGACCTAGTTAACAGTATCTGTATTCGTTCAGAGGGCGGTATCTATATAAGAGATGAAGGACGCTGGTTTAACGGAGTCTGCATCACCGAGGGCAGCTGAAGGCAGGTTTCGCGTTACATTGCCGTGCTCGCCACGCCTGGAGTTACTGAGTTAGAACTTCACTCCTGAGTGACGAAATTTTCTCGAGTGTGAGTGTCCGAAATGAGTTTGTGTATCTTATATTAAATAATATCACAGTGATAATTTTTATTATCCAGATAGTGTGTTTGTCAGGCGTCTTTTAAATTGTTATTGTTACGGCCGATGATGAGCAACCTCTATGGTTAAGAGAAGTGCGTGTTAAGATTTTCCGGAATAAAAGGTACCAGAAATAAAATCAGCAAGAGAAAGTATGAATTGGTGACATGAAATAATACCAACAGATTCCACTCGAGCGTTGTAACTTTTAATTTATTCCATTACTAGTGGCACTGGGGGCACTAAATGCGAGATCACGATACTTGCTTGATAAGAGATAAGCCTGGGTAGCGCAGTCGGTATACCGACAGGCTGCTAACGGGACGACAGAGGGGTCGGATTCGAGTCTCGGTAGGGGCAAGATTTCTCTCCTATCCAGGTCGATCAGACCGGTTTTGGGATCCACCAAAACTCCTATGTAATGGGTTCTGTTGGCTATTTCCCCGGAGGTTAACAACAGGCCGGACCGTGAAGCTGGCCACTCATCTCCATCTTGTGCCAAGGTCAGGAACACGTGACTCTACACATCCACTTCCCCATATGCGTCATGGCGTACTGTTTAATGAGTGATTTATGAGTGATTTCCGGTTTTGATGGGGATAAATAACGAACCGTTGAAAGTAGCGTGTGAACTTCTTCATGGAGCTAGATCATGGCATTGAAATCAAGCAGGACATTTTATGTAATAGAAAATCAACATCGTGACAGTGCGAAACTTGCAGATTACGTTTCAAAAATTTACAGCACAGAAGACCCTCGTCCAACACGTGATTAGATTCCTCAAAAAGGCCTCGTCAGATAACTCTGCACTGGATAAATATGATACATTACAGGTTTAATTTCCTCACGTCACTGCGACCCCATAATGGAGACGGTTACATACAAATAAATGGTAAAACTTTGATACAGTTTGAGAAATATAACGTTAGTTAGAATCTGTGGGAGTACCTAATCACTTAATTTTCATTGAAATAACATGGGGGCTCCATAACAAGGACGCCTCCAGGAATTCTTCGTTGGAGCCAGAACCTGTTTACCGAGCCGTTCGTATCAGCAACAGGGGGATACCCATGCAGACACACAGACTGATGGGAGGGATTTATGAGGTACGCTGCTGAGATGGGCTAAGGTGCCATGACACACATAATAAATTTCACAGAAATCAGATCAGACATTCATTTGCTAAGGCCAAGAGGTACAGACACACAGACATCAAGATGATCTCATAAGAGTAGTTTCACATTTTCAAAATAAGATAAATATGACAAAAAATGAAATTTGAAACATAAACAATACGATATTTACATATGGTAAATACAAATGCATTATATTGAAGGTCGCCTATATGGTGCAATATGAAACTGTGAATGATGGCATGAGTACTTCAGTTGGCGGTGACGATGGCTTTCATTTTGTGTTACTTTACGGTACTGTCAGCAGTTATATGGAAGTAAGGGGTAGTGGCATAATCGAGGAAATTGATTAGATGGCCTGAGGAAAACCATGTAACATTTCCGCATGAGAGTTTGTGTCTAGACCGAGATTTGAACCAAGGACATCCTGAATACAAGTCTAGAGCAGCTCACTCGGGCGCGTCACGATGTAGACTGAGGCGCCACAAAATTTGCAGTGTCCTCTCGTCAACTGTTACTAAATATAGGGAACGTGTGCTTACAGGACATACTGTGTACAGAAGAATGGAGCGTTGGTCAGGTCGCGTTGCCGTGGTGACAGGAGCCAGCAGCGGTATTGGAGCAGCCATCGCTGCAGAACTGACAAAGAAGGGGCTCAAGGTGGCAGGACTGGCACGCAGAGTCGAGAGAGTCGAGGTATGTATGAATTACTTATCATACCCAGTATCATAATGTCATACAAACATCTTTCTAAATTCGGCCGAACTCAGCAAGCTATGAGCCAACACTGTTGCCAGAATGCTCAAGGACGCAGACCTTCCACAGTATATTTTTTTATTGCTAGTAGGGTGGGACAAAGTCCCTTGTACTGCGGCCACTTCTGGCCTATTCTACCAGCCCCAGATGATAGGTGAGGGTGATTGTGGAGCAATTGGTGGAATGAAGATTGGCAGGGAAAACTGAAGTACTCGGAGAAAACCTGCCCCAGCGCCACTTTGTCCACCACAAATCCCACTTGATCAGACCGGGGATCCAACCCGGGCCGCCGCTTGACCTATGGCGCGGCCCTTCCCCAGTGTAAGTACACGTACTGCCGAAGCGTGATCAACTGCACGGCCCCCTCGGTCACCCGACATTACCGCGGGAAACTTCCTTCTGTGAGGTTACGTAAAGGAACTGTAAATACCTGATGAACTGCAAACACGGATTTCTGCGGGTGTTGCCGCCGTCAGGATGGGGCAGATATGACTCCACTGATGTTACACCAGGACACCACAGAGCAAATTTGTAGAAATTAAAAATGCACTAAGAAAAAAGTCGAATACAAAATGCACCCTTCCTGTTTAATAATCTATACTTGTCTGACATAAGGTTACACTATTGCGATTTTAAATTTAGAATCATGGTACATAAATCTGAAACATAAATTTGTACCCCCTCCCCCCTCAAAGGAACATTGCCTCTCTTGAGCAACTGATAGTTATACAGCTGGTCAAATAACTTCCCCGTCTCCTATGCGAAACCGTGAGGTTCGCGACCAAATTCACAGTCTCCAGTCACTGGAGCCCACCCCCATCTGCTGCGCATGTTCGCACTGGCAACACATGTATCTATATAACTACAGCCACTCTGTATTAACGTGAAGGAAGGAAGAAACGGAGCAATGTGAACACGACTGCCAAATAAAACGGGCTGGAAACAGTAAGACAGACGGGACTGAAGTACGTAGTGACGCGATGGTTAATGTAGAAAATAAAAAAATTCCTCTTCAAATTTCAACGGCATTGCGTGTTATGTCATGTTATTAACTGCAAAGTAAGAGGTCTTCGTTCAGTCACTACAGACTGTAGAGGCAACCTGAAGATATCAAATATCAATACAGATTTAACCCAGGCCATTAATTTGCAAATTGGCCCTTCTTTGCTTTGTTTCTTTTTATACCGATGGTTGCCATGTTTCAGGAACTGTCCAAATCTCTGAAGTCAGCGAAGGGCAAACTGCATGCGGTGAAATGTGACGTCAGCAACGAGTCAGACGTTCAGGCGGCCTTCAAGTGGGTCAAGGCCAATCTCGGAGGAGTGGACATCCTAGTCAACAATGCCGCTGTGGCGTATGATACCTCTCTTTCTAGTAAGTATCCATAGCAACTGTCAATAATTCAGACATGTAATGTGACTTCATGGAGCTGAGTCCTTCTTGAGAAGTCGCCAGTTGTGCAGAGAGTCAAGAACATACCAAAACTTCATGGAACTCGAAGGTTCATTACCGTGTTCACAAGAGTCCCCCATTGGTCCCTATCCTTACCCAGATCAATGTAGTCCATACCACCTTTAAATACAGATCTCTTAGGGTGCATTATAATATAACCCATTCACGCCTTGGTCTTCCTAGTGGTCTCTCGCTTTTTGGCGTTCTCACCAGTATCCTATATGCATTATTTTAAACACGTTCTCTTGCTTAATTAAGCATTATATTATTAAGGCATACAGAAGCTGGGATAGCTCAGTTAGTATAGTTACTGTATTCGAGGTTCTATTGCCCGCAAGTATATATACATATTGTTCCGCACAGCGTACAGACCGCCTCTAGGGCCCATCAAGCCTCATACGCTCAGACAAAAAAAAACACCTTTTTCCAAAATTATGACGCCAACACGGTCAGTCATATCAATCTAGTTCGAGGCTAAGAATGAGTAGATCAGTACATCCACTCGCCGATATATTCATTGCGTAGGGTTTAATTAATTAAGCCCAGACAATAAATTATCTTAACAATGAAGTGCATAAGGGAGTGAAAGTATGGCTCCAAACACTGTGAACCTCGGCACAAAGTGGAGGTAAGTAGCTAACACCACCCTCCGCCACTTTACACCTGAAGAAGAAACCATCAGTATCCAAAGAACTAAAGATGGGGTGGGGTCTAGATCTGCTCTGGAAGCCTTGCCAATGAGAACAATCCACGCTTGCTTTAGGATATCACAGCAGTGAATGTGATGAGTACTGTGTTCTCAGATGTGACCGGACTACAAGGCATTATACGCCAAAACACAGTTCTCTTTCAGAATAATCTCTGATTCCGTATTAATTTCGTATTTCCAACTTCGCTCTCCGTGGCTCATTTAAGTCTTATAGGCCAGGGTGAAATTATGGCGTAGCGACATGTAAAACCTTTAACGTTCGCATCTTTCTATCCCAGGTGGATCAACAGAAGAACTTAAACGTATGTTGGATTTGAACGTGCTGGGTCTCAGCGTGTGCACCAAAGAAGCGCTCCAGTCCATGAAGGAGAGAGGAGTGGACGATGGGCATATCATACATATCAACAGGTGCGTCAGGCAGATGTTGTGAATTGTAAGTTAAGTTGCCTTTCTTGTCAGTCGAGTTCAGATATTCACTGGCCTACACGTAACGTTCTACGAAATCGTTCACGTTCCACAGGTACTCGTGTTTCCAACTGCATCTGACCATACCGGCATCTCACGGTGAAAATCTTAAATCCTTTACTAAGAATTTTTTAAAAGGAAAGGCTAGAAAAGCATATTTGCGAAATTGTTATGAATCAGAATTCTTAATTTCCAGGATGTAAGATCTGAGATTTCACGGCGGTGACTATGAAGAAAGCCTTCGGGGATGTGGCGCCGTGTAGATATTGTGTTCACCAACGTTTGCCTTTCCGCCATAATATATATAAAAACGTTCGACATTTTAAAACCACTTTGGACTAAAAACTTAATTCGATATCTAAAATGGGGAAATGAAATTAATGAAAAAATTATATGCACTATAACTTGAAGTAAAATACACAAAAATATAATCGCTACTTACCATAAGTTTCAAGTTGATTCAGTTTTCTTGTTATCCCACGAGATGCTACTGTGACACACTGGATGTAACGTACATGGCACACCAGATTTCAGAAGTTCTGTTCGGGTAACGGCTAGTTCTCTGCACGTCTTGCCTGCAAAGCACAGAACAGCGGCAATTTAGTGAAGTGGTACGGATATACTGAGATGAGCTTGTTCAGTCAATTGTATTATTCTGTATGTCGATCAGATCTACTCGGCAGTCATTTTGACCACAATATGTAACTTACTGTGGACTTAGACATGAACCCTTTCCTCTTCGTCTTTAAAATCTGCAAATCTATACATGTACAGCCGAATTCGCAATAATTTTCTGCACACTACCAATTACAATTACATTGTCACGTGTAAGGGGTTCCGTGACTCACAATAACGGGTTCTGGATAGGATGATTGCATTTATTTCCACTTATTTATAATTACAACCAATTATAACAGCTAACAATTAATGAATGTCTAAGACTCGCTCAATTCCTTACTGGACAACGAGTGTCTTCTCTTGCACTGCGACGAATGACGAACGAGGAATCTCTATCGGATGAATTCTGTTGAAGAATGAGGACTCAACTACGAACGAACTCGAAATGTATTCTGCCGAGCGTCCTCACGTGTTCTCCCTTTTATAGCTTCGGGTGAACCCGAATATAGAGACCACCATCTTGAACAGTTAATTGCCATTCTGTCTGTTGTCACGGGAACGTGAATATGTAAATCTACTGGGTGATTTGCGGATTTGTGATGGTGATGTCGATCTACTGGGTCGTAATATAGATACCATGAAGAAGACACACAAACTTTAATTGACGCAAGTAAGGAGATTGGTCTAGAAGTAAACACAAAGAAAACTAAGTATATGTTGCTGTCTCGTCAAAAAAATGCAGCGCAAGCTCATGACATAACAACAGGAAACAGATGTTTTGAAAATGTGGCACAGTTCAAATACTTGTAAAAGACTATAACAGAACAAACAAAACAAAACCTGATTCGGGAGGAAATTAAGAGGAAAGTGAATTCAGGTAATGCTAGCTTCTATTCGGTCCAGAATATTCTGTCTTCTCATCTGCTGTCTAAAAGCAGAGAATCAGAATATAGAAAACTATAATTCTGCCTGTGGTTCTGTATGGGCATGAAATTTGGTCTCTGACATTAAGGTAGGAACATAGAATGAGGGTGTTGGAGAATCAGAATTATCAAATCGAAGAGGATGAGAAGGGCAGGGCATGTAGAACTAATGGGTGAAGAGAAATCCATGTAGAATACTGGTGGGAAAGACAGAAGGAAAGACACCACTAGGAAGACCAAGAAGTACGTGGGGAAACAATATTAAAATGAATCTTGGAGAGATAGAATGGGATGGTATGGACTGGATCGATGTGGTTCAGGACAGGGACCAATGGAGGGCTGTTGTGAACAGGGAAAGCAACCTTCGAGCTCCACAAAATGTTGCGAAGTTCTTGAGTAGCTTCAAAGCTACAAGTTGGCATACAACAGATGATTCTGGCTGTTGGCTGTCAGTCAGTTTCCTGAAACTAATCAGATTAATGGTTGTAGGTCTTTCATCAGATGGTATAGTAACTACATTCCAAATAACGTGCAATCAAACTCGGAGGAGAGGAGGATAAATTTAAAAATCAATTCTGTACCCACAGCGTTGGTGGCCATGTACCTCCACGAGAATTTTACGCCATGTTCTCTGCCTCCAAACACGCGGTCACAGCGCTGACAGAGGGACTCCGACGAGAACTGGTCAACCTCAAGTCCAAAATCCGTGTCACCGTGAGTATAAACCTGAAATGATTTTTATCTTAAATATAGCTGTCCGAAATTTTGGAAACATGAAATATATTTCTCGTTTCTAATGACGCCATAGGGTTTCCTGAACTCACGTAACCTGCCGGATTATAAATAGAACGCTGTACCACTCGTCGAGACTGGCATTCGATAACTAACCGAATTGTAGTTATCCTCACATTGTCAGCTGAGGATGGAAACAGATAAGAGTTATGTTTATGCTGTAATGTTCTGCTTAGAAAGGAAGGAGATACAGGAAACCCAGAAGCTCTGTGTTCCAAAGTGCAAGGACCTACGGAACTGACATTACTACGTTTTATCCACATGAACTTTATCTAAACATTTCAAGTTCGCTGTATCTGCATTACACATACCAATCGGTTAGTTGTCTCTAGTGATATAAAGATCTTTATTTTGAAAAGCGCAAAAAAACCTCTGGATAAAATGCAACAGTCCTTGAGACTTGAAGCACATGGAACATAGACGCTTAGTAACCATTGTACAATAATTGTTCATTTTCTACATAAACATAGTAAATCTTAATGTTACAGAGCCTCAGTCCTGGACTGGTGAGGACAGAAATGCCTCCCGAAAAGTTTTTGGACACCTGCCCTTCCCTGAACCCTGAGGATATTGCTGATGGCGTTTTGTACGTTCTGGGTGTTCCACCTCATGTTCAGGTTTGTTCAGCTTTCAGTAAATTAATCTTTATTTTGAATGCAAAGGCGGTGTGTTGAAGTTCAATATACACAACCAAAAGCAGGCAAAGTTCGGATTAGTCAGAACTTATTCAGTAATTCGTCAAGCTTCAGCTATAAGAACATCATCAGAAGTTGCCGTTTATTTTGTGAGTCACTCTACGAGGCTGTCTGTAGCTAGACTGTATAGCGGCGAATGGTAGGACAGCAAATGACTGATGAACTGGAAGGAACTTAAAGAAAGGGTGCCAGCATTTTCCTGCAGGGACTCCATGCAAAGATTAATCGGGATAGGCGAACTTCCGGCAGAGGTTGCAACTAATCGCCACCAATACGTGCAGTCATCTTGTTATAAATCTCTGATGAAGGGAGAACCCTCTGCTTCTGCTGGTAATCGAATCCCGGTAATGGAGCCTGTGTCAAGAAACTTGTCTTGTGGGACGCTGCCACTGTTTCAGGGGCATAAAATGCCTCAATCTTCTATCTTCTACCGTGATGACGGAAGCAGCAAGTTTCCCCAAACTATCGTTACGTATCTAACGAAGATCTCTTTGGCGTCATGTTAAAGGTCTCTGCGCTGACCATCTCAAGTCACACTTCACTGACAGAGATCTAGGGTCACACAAAAAATATTGATCCTACTACTGCCATCCGTTGCAGGAAGTTGCCTACTGAGACCTGTTGTGATACTACAAAACAGAACCATTGCACCGTTTGAGAAGTCTTCTCAGTTACTGTTCCTTCAGGCCGATGACGTAACACTTTTCCGAATTCTGTCTGAGCCCATACTGTCAGCATGGCCATTCCAAAATATTATTTCTTCGTCTATAAACTTAGTATTTTTGTTGATCTGCAGTTGTCTGAACATTTCATGCTTCATGTTAGGGTCCGGATGGGTGTATCCTGCGGTCCTCCATAGGTACTATGAAACTGATCATGTTGGTACAGGGCGGCGGATCTGAAGCTTTCTGGCATGATGCTCCCTTTTTTGCCTCCACAAAACATGACTTCAGCTTTTTACTGAAATAAATGTAGCTATTGATACAAGTATACAAATGGAATCTTAGCTAGTAATAAAAAAAAATATTGAAGAAAACATTCAAGTTATGAAAATGAAAATGCTGCACGGTGTTCTCCATTTCGTGATGGACAGCACCAAAATGTATTGAAATCTAATAGCCCTAATTCCTTAGTACCTGAAATAATAATTCCGACATGTGCTTAAGGAAGAGTTGAGCTACAAATGAATATTTCAGCTGAGTCCGACATTGAAAATTCATTTCCTGACATTTTTTCACGCCCCACACTCCGCCTGCCCTCCCAAAACCCTCTTCACCCGCCAGAGAGGCACAACCCTACATGTGAATCACAGGTCTGGAAGACACTGCGGATATATAAAGTCATAACAAAAGTTCTCATCAATAAAACTAGTGCGGTAATTTCTCACATCTTCGAAATGACGTATTGATTTGTAATGTTCTCTTCTTTACAGATACATGAACTGACTATAATACCAGTTGGACAGAACATCTGAAATATCCTGGACACGCTTCCTCTGCGTTGATGCGTCGGTATTGATTACTTAATAATATGTTACTTACCCAACCGATTTTTGTAATTTGATTCTGTAACAACTCCTGTCTTGCAACTGAATGTAATTCTAAAATGTTACAATTGTTAATCATAAGAATTCACTGTATCCTGTACAAATAAATAATAAAAGACGTTATTTCCTAGGCAGTATGGCCTTTAACAGAAACGAGATAATTACCATACCAACCTTTCCCCTCCTACAGTTATATTTATCTAGATATTAACGTTTGTGACCTTCAAAAATTCACCATCAGTCATTCTCGGTCTAATTAAGTCCCCTAACTTTGTGCACTATGTGATGTGATACATTGATTAGGCAATGAAGTGACAGGAGGCTGGGAGAAAACTGTTTAACGATGAGCTTCATAACTTGTACTCTTCGCCTATTATAATTAGAATGATCAAGTCAAGGAGGATTATATGGGCAGGGCATGTATCAAGAAGGGGAGAAGAGGAATGCATATAGGATATTGGTGGGAAAGCCACGAGGAATGAGTCCACTAGGACGACCAAGATGTAAGTGGGTGGACAATGCTCAAAATGGATATTAGAGAGATAGGATGGGTTGGTATGGACTGAATTCATCTGGCTCGGGATAGGGACAAGTGGAGGGCTCTTGTGAATACGGTAAAGGATGTTCTGGTTCCATAAAATCATGGAAAATTCTTGAGTGGTTGCACAATTGGAAGCTTCTCAAGAAGGAGGTCTATCCATGAGTGAGTGAGTGAGTGAGTGAGTGAGTGAATTTGCATCTGTACCTAAAGATCATTGCGCGACCGCGAGATAAACAAGTAGTCCAGAGGCGTTTCTGAGCAACGGCTCAGTAAACATGTTCCCGCGGCAAAAGATATGCATGCAAAAATATACGTACGTTTGGAGACGGCGTTCTATACGCGGTCCATGCCGAGGAGTTATAAGGAAGATAACTGGAGCAGCTAAGTCAGTTCTATGAAGAAAAGAGAAGGCTGAAAGGGAGCCGACGTCCACAGGGGACTCGACTTTGGAAACAAAGGTCTAATTATTGTTAGAAGCCTTTATTAGGTAACTATTTGTGAAGAGACTTTGGGATGGAAAAGACTTGTAACGTGTGGAAATCATCACTGGCGCTGCAATTATGCAATTGTGTGCTAAGTGGTCAATAAATCCAATATCAAGGGCAAACACATCGAGAATCACTCGATGCTACGTGAAAATATTGTTACGTGTATGAATTATCTTTATTGTTTGTATCCTGTTGTGTATTAATGTATAGTATTGTCATACGGCCGTCACCACACCAAATTCGTAAGAACAAATCAAATATTACTATATTAATATTTGTATATTTCTGCGTTTTGCATATGTTTCGATCCAGCTTAGTAATCGTCAGGCAAATATTCATGAAATATGAGTAGTATTGAATTGAATTGCTATTAGCGTTCATAAATATATCTCATTACAAATTTGAATATTAATTTTAAAATCTAAAACATAACTAAGAACTTTAATTCGAATTAAAAATTTGACGGCTCATGACGATGCATCGCGAAGTAGAGGGGTGGGTATTCAGGGAGTCTGCGTTGTTTCAATTACGTGCACGTATGGTGTAGTTGTTTTACGCATGCAAATGGTGCACGAGTGTGTTCTATGTCCCTTTGATGTCTTGAGTGACGGAGATAAATTATTTTGTGTATATTGTTCTATTTTCTGCACAGGATAACACGCCTTCTCACTATCAGAGAGTGGTTGGGGCCCCTCTGCGGTTCTGTTTGTTCACAACTGTAACCGCACCATGCAGGAACCTCAGCAATGTTGATTTACATTGTTAATTACAATGCACTACATGGGAACGAAATGTAGTACTGTTAACAATAGATGATACAGAATTGACCCCAGCACCAGCAGACGCCAAGGACAACATCTGGTCTTTCTGAGAGACAAGCAAGCTGCAGGTCACTTGAAAACCCAGAACGGAGCAGGAAGTAGTCCGCTGTGTTTTCTGGGGATTTCAATGCTTAACTTCGACGGTTCGAGTCTTTGAAAATTTGAGACTTGACAGATACGAGTCACAATAATTTTCGAAGGGGCGTACCGAGCGATCATTAGCGTACCTCCATTTATTTGAGAGCTGTCAGAGGGACCGTGTTGTACTTAGGCCCAAATTAACATGGATCTGGTTAGGGATTGGCTGAATGCAAATGAGAGAAACACCCAAATTTTATGTCCAGCCAATCAGCAAAATTTCAGAGGAGAGGAATTCAGGCGTTCCCGGAACCGCCGGGACTTCTGCCTCTCCAGAGCAGTCAGTCATTACAAGTCATTACAAGGGAATAACAGCGGTGAGACATCAACAGTGAGTAACAGGATTGAGTAACCAAAGGGAGTAACCGGAGTTAGTAGTAACCTCCCGGACGTTAAATTGGTGTTGGCCGAGTCCGGTGTACAAAGTCCAAGTGCTACGGCCGGGTAATGGGTAATTGTAGTGAACATCTACAATAAAGCAACAGTGTTGGTGAAGTGCGAGTTTTTGAGTGTTTTCTCTCTCCTTGTGTGGGCAAGGCCCATTAGTCGCCCTGAGACAAAATCTCGTCCTACCGTCTGAGCAGTCGGAACCCCATACGCTCGCCTATCCAAATCCCCACCTTTGTTTTCCCCGTTCCAAATTCGTGGATTTCATCCAAGTCCATTGGCCCCCACACAAATCCAAATTCAGAATAATCCCACACCCTACCCTGAACCAGACAGCAACAGGAAGCGGCGGATTAAAGTGCAGACCACAAAGGGGCGAACGTGAAGGACAGGTATAAGTGACGACAACCTCGAGAGGCTTGAAGTCCCACTGAGCAGACGAAGACGAAGAGGAGGGCGGTAAAACAACAGATAACTCTTGTGTTATCTTCTCTCATTTGAACAACAAATGTCACAGTTATGACGAACGATTTTTTCATCTTTCTTAATCTTACTCTAAATTTTCAAAAGCATGACATAGTCCCTTAAATATCTCCATGACATTCAACAAATACACGGAGAACTGCGTTCCGTACCCAATATGTGTCCAACACGTTGGTTTCTAGCTCGATATTAAGGCAGCTCACGGTCCGGGGGAATTTTGTGTCTTCATTCACAGCGGAAGCTTAAATATCTCCAGCAGATACAGAGCCTTGCAGGATCGCTATGGACTCTCTCCAAGTTATCAGGGTGGGTTGTTGTTCATCCTGATATAGCTCTTGCATCCTTACACTGTGACCATACGGTCAATGTTGCCGACGTTTCGGAAGTACGTGGTGTATCTATGTTCATGGTCCAATTGAGTAGGGAGAGTTGTTCATGTATGCGTAAATTTTCTACGAGGTACGGTTGCACTTAGACCCTGAAGATGGAGGCAGCATTTACTTCCGAAACGTAGGCAACACTGCCCACATCCTCAAGATGTGAGGATCCAATATCAGAATAAACACAAGGGTCCAGTTTTTACGTGGTGTACACATGGAACGTTTCGGGTTTTCGTGTCGGGTGAAATACTGCTGGGCCTCGCCAGCACAGCCATTCTTGGTTCCCGTTCCGGGGGGAATGATGATAACATTTTTGTGTATCTCGACTCTGGGAGTTGTTCAACCACTCTCACGGAGTTTCTGGAATATATACATAGAGTTTGATTTGGTCTCCGTCAGGTGAACCGATGCTGCAACGAAATTGAAGCCGGGAACACCTTCCGAAACTTGCTGCCTTTGGCATAAGTGTCAGTAGCGAATTGCGGCAAAAATAACACACTGTTAGGAAAGGTATCCAACATCACTCCCTTCCGATGAGTAATACCTGCTGTTACTTTTGTATTTTTTTTTTCGCCCATACAGAACCTACAGAAATGGGTGTGAAACTTGGTCTCTGACATTAGGGGAGGAATCAAGACTAAGGGTGTTTGAAAGCAAACTGCTGAGGAGAATATCTGGATGGAAAAGGGATGAAACAACGGGAGGTTGGAGAAACTACATCATGAGAAGCTTCATAACTTCTACTCTTCGAAAAGTATAGTCAGAATGGTCAAGTCAAAGACATTTAGATCGGCAGGGCGTGCAGCACGAATGGGGAGAAGAAGAATGCACATGGGATATTGTTGGGAAAGGCAGAAGAAGACAGACCACTAGGAAGACCAAGACGTAGGTGGATGGACAATATTAAGACAGATCTTAGAGACATAGGATGGAATGGTATGGATTGGATTGATTTGACTCAGGACAGGGACCAGTAGAGGGCTCTTGTGAACGCGGTAATGAACTTTCGGGTTCCATACTATACTGGGAAGTTCTTGAGTGGTTGCACAATTCACGGCTTCTGAAGTAGGTTTCAGCTCCATGATTGAGTGAGCAGTGATGACTTACCGTTTACGCGGCGACAAGCCTGCCTTGCGTAACAGCGTGACTTGCATTGCAATAAAGTTGAATGTTTCATTTACGTTGCATCCGTGAATAGACCTACTTAACAGTATCTGTATTCGTTCAGAGGGCGGTATGTATATAACAGATGATGGACGCTGGTTTAAGCGGAGTCTGCATCACCCGAGGGCAGCTGAAGGCAGGTTTCGCGTTACATTGCCGTGCTCACCACGCCTGGACCTACTGAGTTAGAACTTCACTCCTGAGTGTCGAAATTTTCCTGAGTGTGAGTGTCCGAAATGAGTTTGATGTGTGTACATAACATTAAATATCAACGTGATAATTTTCTTTCTAGATCGTATGTTTCTGTTTGTCAGGCGACCTCTATCCTTAACAGACGTGCGAGTTAAGATTTTCCGGAATGAAAGGTACCAGGAATAAAATCACCAAGAGAAAGTATGAATTGGTGACATGAAATAATACGTACCAACCGATTCCACTCGACCGTTGTAACTTTCAATTTATTTCATTACTAGTGACACTAGAGAAACTAAACGCAAGATCACGATACTTGACTGATAAGAGATAAGCCTGGGTGGCGCAGTCGGTATACCGACAGGCTGCTGACGGGACGACAGAGAGGTCGGTTTCGAGTCTCTGTAGGGGCAAGGTTTCTCTCCTCTAAAGGTCGTTCAGACCGGTTCTGGGGTCCACCCAGACTCTCATCTTCCTGGGTCCTTCCCCAAAGGTAAGTCGGCCGAGCCTTGAAGCTGACCACTCAACTCCATCTTC